GCATATATTATTAACAGTAAATAAGCTCCTCTCTAGTGTATTTTATTCCTAACTAACAAACTGTGAACATTGGATAACTTTCCTGAGGTAAATGCAAGGTTAAGTGACATTGTTCACTAGCTGTTTTATTGATATCTTTCTGTGGTTGAAACACTTATTGAGCATTACATGAGACATGATACATTTCGGTAAATTGTACTGTATCTTTCAACATAACCTTCTGATGTTCATGCATGTTGTGGAAGTGGAAGAGACGACTCGCGCTCTGCGCTGCCAACCAAACATTTTATTTAACATAAATTATTATGTACATTAGTATTTACACTAACAAAAAAACTCTCACAAGGAAGTACTTTCAGAACTTGTGGAGCAAAACAAATCTAAATAAATAAATATAATAACCTTTTTCTATTATAAATACTTTTTTCCCTCCAGTACCTCTAACAAATACTCACACTCACGTTAATACCTGGGAATGTGAAATGCTGACCAACCATACGGTTTAACAAACAAACATAATTTACTATGTACGTTAGTAGCATATTTATGTTTACAAAAAAAACTGTTGCAAGAGGTAGACTTTGAGAACTTTTGGAGCATAATAATAAACCAAAAAACAAAGCAAAAAAAACATCTTTATTCTATTTGGCACCCAAAATTATAACTGCATTATGGCTACTTTCCACATTTTACTGCATTTTCTTGATTCCTTCCTTTTATCTAAACTTTCCAAACAGATGCCTACGTCTGTCATTTACAGATACAAACGGTTGGCCTACATCGTTAAGGTCCACTTTGTCAAGGGCCTCTTGATATACATGACATAGTTACATTATTAAGGCGCTGACTTCTATGAGTCTATCAGCACACCCCTAATTAAATGGTAAAATGGTAAATGGTGTCTGCCATACAAGGCGCCATCCAGCTCGTCGGGAGCAGCTGGGGTTAGGTGTCTTGCTCATGGACACCTCGACACTTGGTCAGGTGGAACCGGGGATTGACAACCTACATGAACCACTGAGCCACTGCCGCCCATAATTAATGCTCCTAACCTTGAAAGATTGCAGAAGTCACTACTACTGCTAGTTATTTGTGTGGCTAGTTATTTTTGCCTACTTACACTCTGCTTTATGAAAAAGCTTCGTATGTCCCCTTTCTTCTTCTTGGGTCACATAGCTGATCTACAAAAAAACGGAATATTAAAATGTTTTACTCTGGCCTTTGTATATGGCAGGCAGAGAGACAGCCCTGGTAACTTACCGTCGGCGTCGTCACGCGCACACATACACACACACACACACACGCACACACCACCCGCTCGCCGCCAGTGAGCGCAAGCACAAAAAGTAGTCCCGGCCCGCGCGTATAGCCTGCCTGTCAGATACCCCGCCGCCAATCAAATTACGGCGTATCTTGTACTGTCGTCGTCCTGGCCGTTGGAATCGATCCAAATAGCAGCGCAAAGATCCAAATGCAGCGCAGATATCAAAATAGCAGTTTAAAGGAGCTTGCTAAATATTGGTGGGGACAAATTTGTCATCTCAAAATATTGATTGGGACTAGTACCTAGCGTCCCCCCCCTAAACCTACGCCCTTGGCTGCCGCTTGAACTGAGTGATAGGGTCAAATAGAGCCTGCTTTTGTCAAGTCACCTTTATTTTTATAGCACTTTATACAATAGAGATTGTTTTAAAGCAGCTTTTCAGTGATAACAGGAAAATTATGCATTTCGACTGTTGTTCAGCTGAAGTCAGTTAAGTGTTGATTCAGTTCCGTTGTAAAGATCATCAAGTATTAAATAAGTTCATTTCATCTAAAAAGCAGTTCTTCATAAAATTATGTCATCGTCCGTCTGAGTTCAGTTCTCATTCAACAGCGTCAGTACAGTCAGATCAATCAAATTGTTGAATATTATTAAGTGTCCTTGAATTTTAACTGTTAATGCGTTATCACGTTAACTTGCCCTAAATTCAATAAAAGAGAGATTTTCTTCACACACAGTATGAGTTGCAGTCTGACACGTTTTTCCGCCCGCTTTTGATTGACAGGTTATAATCCTAGTTAATTTACATGTCTGTGTTCTGTCTTAAAGGCTCGTGGATGGAACTCGATGATTTGAAACACCCTCACTGCAAAATCCACAAGAGGTTTTCATTTCCTGCCAATGAAATTCACATTGTTTTCTGGGAGGCAGACTCCACTAAAGATAAAGCTTCAGTGGTTAGCTCACTGACAGCTCCCTCGGCGGTCACAGATGTCGATGATAAACTCTCGGACAAACTGTCAGACTCTGTGGCCAATGACACGTGTGTCATCAGCGCGCTTACTGTGGGAGACTCCACTGCTGTCAGCACTCTGGATGCATCCATTGGCAGCACCACATTACTGGACACATTTGAGGGTCTGTCACACACAGACATTGTGACCCTCACTCTTGTTGATGTGAACGGAGTCACTGAGGATCTTCAGATTCCCCAGAGCCCAGCCGTCGTTCCGGTCACTCTCCCTAGTCTTTCAGTAGCATCTAGTTTGTCCAGTTGTCAACCTTCAAACCCTCCAAAACCTTCTGATTTGAAAAGGGAACTACTTTCTGTGGCCAATCCAGTTGTGGTGAAATCATCAGAGGCTACAAAAGTACATGCACCTTCACCACTTTTGTCCTCATTACTTCAACGGCATCCATCCTTCCATTCTACACCAGTGAGACTTCCTCCTCCTGCTCCAAAACCAAAGCTCAGTCTGAAATGCGAAAATGAAGCTCTACCAGCAAAGCCGGCCGACATGTTTGGTGGCTTCATAACCAAGAAATTGGCAAATTCAATTTGTGCGAATCCTGCTGTACCGCCTCAACACAAACCAGTCACTCTTCCTGGTGGTATGCGTCCACCTGTTAAGAAAACTCCAAGCTTTTCAGCAGACCAGCAGCCCATTAACACTACAGAAGCCCTCAGGCTAAAGTTAATGAAAAAGCTCAAGGCCAAGAAAAAGAAACTGGCCAAGCTAAACCAGATTCTGGGAAGCGGAGGAGAAGCTGCACCCAGACCGGACAGCACGGCCCTCTCGTCGCCCTACTCCGTCACCTCTAGCACTTCGGCTTACGACAGCCCGGCATATGACCAGTTCTTCGCTGAGCTTTTGTCACCTGTGACGACCGCCAGTAACCTCTCACCTGACAGCACGGGTCTCCTGGAGATGTTGAACAATGGCCAGAATGGCGAGACGACAAATGGAAGCGCACAGCAAAATTCTTCAGTAGCAACTGTGGTTCCAGAAGCAACTTTAAACTATTCATCTTCTACTAATGACTCCATATTTGATGAATATATACAATCAGGGATGGGCCAGACTGCAATTGAGAGTACTGATTTTAATGGATTAGATATATTTTTCTGATTAAGAAAAGACTTTTAGACTTTAAAAACCATGAGATTGGTCTGGTGTCTTAAGTTGTTTCTAAGAACTGTTCTTTGTAGTTTTCTATTTGGAAAGAAATACTTTTTTTTTTTTTAGGAAAGCGTGTGGTACAACATCAGTTAATTGAAATCAGTTCATATTTTGCCTGATCTACTTGGAGACTAAAGAACATTTACATGGCGCAATGTTTGAAGATCACATTATGAACAAGGTAATTGTAAAGGTTTGTACAGATGTCTGTTTATAAATGTTTTTTTGAGTTGTCCTTTTTTATGGTTCTCACAATATTTAAGCAGTTCACATTAAATGCTCTCAAAAACAGAATACAGTGTGGTTAATGACATTTAATTTAGCTTTTGAGTTAAAAGCGCCTCACAATGATTCTATATTGAAATCCTACAATTGGTTTTAATTTGTTCATGGCTTTTCCAGTGTTAATACATGATTTTATGTGTGTCAGGGGCTCGACATTAATGCTTGTCCGGGACATGTTTAATTTTTGAAGGGGAAAGTGAATTTTACTGCCACAATGACGAATATATAAGAGCAATTTCTAGCCAATAAAAAAATACAGCAATTATAATATTGTACATTTCCATTTACCAATAAAAACAGGAATACGGCAATTCTAAAAATAAGAAATGTTCATTTTTTTCACTGAAATCCGCCTTTTCCGGTGCAGGAGTGTGTTTTGTTTCGTGCACAATTCAGTTGGACCAATAAGATATCCATTTCCTCATTAACTGCCCTTTAACAATATTCAAATCAATATTAAAATAATCATAATGATTGATAATGCAATATTGAAGTAGTCTTGGTTTCACAAAAAAACATTGGAAAGTAAACTGAGACCATGTCACAAAAGTGAAACGAAAATAGGTCCACCAAAAATGTATGCACCTCTTGACGAAAGTTAATGTTGTGAGGCCTGGTGAACTGCATGAAGTTGATTACTTGTAGCTATTTAGTGTTTAAATATAAAAGTGACAATACCAGTTGGTCTGTTGGCTGGGTTTGGAGCAGATGTCATCACTTCTGGATTCCTGTTCAAGAAGGTCCTCTGAAAATGCACATTTAGGATGTTTCCCTAATTTGACACAACCATGTCAGGACATGGCGCCTCACTGCTAATAAGCTGACATCCAGAACCAAGTTTCAGGGATTTAGAGTGTGAGACAAGCTTAAACCAGCTAAGACCAAACCAGTTTAGACCAAGGCAGTCTGTAACCGTACGATCAACAAACTGTCAGTTTCCACTTTAGATTCAGTGTGTGTTCGTTAAACTGCATTTTGTCCTGAAATAGCTGATAGGATGAGCTGTGAAACGAAATGCAGCTGTACCAGGAACAGTTTTTCCACACTGAGATATTTTGTTTCAAAAGTGACTAAATGCACCATTGTGAAGCAGAAGTGAGTTCTAGAAGTTCTAGTGGCCCTCCCACCAGGAAACGCATCAGTTAGTGGTGATGTTATCTATATTAAAATGATCATAGAGCTGCCCTCCCACCAGGAAACGCATCAGCTTAGTGGTGGTGATATCTGTGATACTAAAATGATCAGAGCGCAGTCAGACCAACAGTGCTGAAACAGACCTGTTGCAGTTTATACACGGAGAACATGGATGCTGAAGTGATGGACAACATTATCTTGCTAGTGCTGGTCACTCTTCTCAGCGTTGTTCAGAATGGTAAGACATTTAGATTTTACTCTTTTTAGTTGTATAGTTGAATGATGTTTATGCAGAATGTGTATGCAAATCATCTTTGAAAACATTGTGCTGTGTTTATACATCTAGAAGGAATTAGTCCACAATGTAGCCTATACATAAACATGCAAAGTCATTAAAATACCCATAATACCTAATGTCTAATATATTGACTTCTCCTTTAGTGTTCTTTGCCCTAAAGGTTGAAAAAGAGTGCACAGGGCTTAATTCTAAACAAAATTCTACAGCTTTTGAGCGCTTGTCCTGTGCAAAGTGAGTATTGATTTAAGTTTCTCCACTCTGTTCATGGAATTTGATATAATGTAAGATGATTATATATACACACAGATGAAGAATCCATTTATCAAATAGTGATGGTGTGACTTCTTTTGCATAACCGCTCCACATTTTCCTGTTGTTGGTGAAACTAACTTCCTGATTTATTTACATAATCTTAATGTTGCAAGAGGGTTGCACTGGTCTGTCTGTTATTGAAAGCCTATAAATGTACATTTATTTTTTTGCATTTATTTAAAAATTTCTCAACACATTTCTTACATTAAAGTAAATTGGGATAATTTGGACATAAGGGGAAAAAGGCAGAAAAAGTATCTGGCCCAATTATGTATTATGCTATTCTTACATATTTTTAATTTCTGCACATTTCACATATCGTTAGCCTCATAGCATAATAATTGCCTAAGTCATATTTCAATGTCTTTGGAAAACAAGAAAAAACACAAAATGACTTAGGCAGTTATGCTAGAATATACCAAACTGAAAACACGTATTATCAGTTGCATATCTAGACTGTTGGGTTCTGGTTTGTCTCAATTTAGATCCAATCATAAAAAGTGTCATTAACTACCACCAGAGAGGAAGTAACAACTCTTTCACAATATTTCTCAAAGTTACATTGAACTGACAGCGCATTTGCACATCAGTGTTTGGTCAAATGGAATAGCAGCTGCGTGACTGAGTTCACAGAGACGATAAGAGTTAGTTTTTGAGACTGTATAAAAAGTTATACTTGCTGTTATAATTTAATGAACTGCTTCATAATGCTTTATGTACTTATTGTTATTTTCTTCCCAATTTAAGTCGAAACTGCATGGATACATACCCCACATTTCTGGCAGTGCTGTGGTGCGCTGGTATCTGCCTCAGCCAAGGTACATGATTTAATTCATACCAACACTTTCATCAATAAAAGGTGTAACATTTCTTTATCACATTCTGACTAAATGAACACTTAATTATAGAATTAAAAGTGCCTTTGTTATTTTATCATCAATGTTCATTGTTCACTATATGGTGGAAGGATAACAGAAACTACCCCTTTTGTAATGTGGTAGAAATGGTTTGCATTTCTCTGCTAATAATTCATGCTATGACCCATATGCAAATATTTGTCATCATTATAACCAACCGACGCATACATAATGCGAGTCAGCCCCAATAAAAATTATGTGAGTCAGAGAAATTACCTGTACAGTAACTGTACATTAATTTCTTGGGAATTAGCCAGCTAACAGACATGTCCTAAGAATGTTTTACTAACGTTCCTTTTAAGTTATAAAAACATTATTTTGGAAAGTTCTATGAACGTTTATAACGTTCAGGTTTTAGAATTTTTTTTTTTTTTTTTTTTTTTTTTTTCTTAATTATGCCAACGTATCATTTTGGAAACATAAAAAAAAAAACGATGAATGTCCAACGAAAATGTTTCAGGGAAAAAAAACACTCCATGAATAATGTATAAATTATGTTTTTGTGCTAATATTTTGAGAACATTATTAAATACCAGATACCTTTGAAAGAAAGTTCTGTTAACATTACTGAAAGAATGTTTGTTTATAACTTTTCCAGAACATTATCCAAAGTTCTGAGAACGCTCCCTGTTAGCTGGGTTGCCCATTTAACTATAATAAGAACATTTTTGAAGTCATTTTATAACAATAAACTATTTTTGTTACAGCTCCAGCTGCCTTTGCTGGCATTCTCTACCTTGTGGTCCGGCAGAAGTATTTTGTTGGCTACATGGGGCAGACATGCCAGAGGTACAATTTTTAAAAGTAAAAATCCATAACTGTGAACAAATAAGCCCTTTTGGACATCAAAATGTTTTTTTCCCCTTGTGCAAAAGTTGCATTAGTCAACTGAAACATTGAAAACTTTTACAGTTGTAAATTAAATTATTCAACCCCCATTGCAAATCAGGTTTATTGGCAAAATGTACAGCTTTCAGCTGTTTGTAATGAACAAATCAAACAAAAGTAGTTGAAATGGCTCAACACAACAAATATTTCCAGTGGTTTCGCCAAATTCATTAGCCTGACGTCGTCATACTCAGATTCTAGTCAGAATGTGAGTCTGATACTGCTCCATTGGGCTGTGAAGATGGGGCGTGTTTCAACCGAACCAGGAAAAAAAAATGCCTCTGCACTCAATTGGATAGACCTACAACTAATCAGAGCAACGGAGTAAGTGACGTATGTTGAATCCCGTAGGAAGGACGGCTAAAACATCTTTCCGATCGGCAAATGCCTTGATCGCGGTTCTCTGTTCCTCTTTTAAAATGAATGCGCTGTCGTTATCTTCTATAACAGACGTGATGGCAGAATCTACACATCTCAATTCTCCAGCGGCAGCCATTCTTTGTTGTAAACGAATTCAACCCAAGCGCTCTTTGGTGACGTGGATGATTACGTTACTGTTGATCATCTGTCAATAATCGTATAAAGCTCGCCCTGACAATTTGATTGGTCCGAACAGCTCTGGTTTCGAGCAGAGTTGCTCCACAACGGATCAAGTCCAGACCGAACTTCATACAGGCTACAAATTCAACTGAAAATTCAACTTTTAATGACTTCTGCTATCTCAAAATGATTCAACCCCCTGAATAGAATCCCTCACAACAGCACAAATCTGCAAAACAGGTGTTGTCTCAAGCACACCTGATGCAACTAATCAAGAGCTTCATAAGTTGCACCAGGTGTGCTTGAAATAAAACACATGAAATATATTAACTGGCTAGGTTTGTTAAGTGTCACGTTTGACTGCATGTTAGAAATATGGCTAAATCAAAAGAATGGTCCAAAAAGTTAAGAGAAGATATCATCGCCCCTTTACATACAAGGAACACGATAAAAAAAGATAGCGAAGGCACTAAATGTTCCTAGAGACACCGTTGAAAGGAACAGTGGTTACACTACCTGGACGGGGCAGAATAAGGAAGCTATCAACGGCTGCAACCAGATTTCTGAGAATGCAGGTTCAGAAAAACCCTTAAGTGACCGCAAAAGACCTGCAGCAAGACTTGGTGGCAACAATGACTGAGGGTTTCAGCTTGCACAGTAAGGCGCATACTAAACGTATGCATTTTCCATTTTCGTTTTCGGCCCTATGGATCAGCGGTATGTCTGGAAGAAGAATAATAAAGCATATGCTGAAAATAACACTTCAGCGTGTGGAAGGCAAGATGGATTCATTGAAGTATCAGGAAATCCAAGGAGAAAACGTCATGCCGTCAGTGAGGAAGCTGAAGCTTGGGCGTCATTGGATCTTCCAACAGGACAATGATCACAAGCATACCTGAAATTCCACCAAGGCTTGGTTGCAGAGGAAGTCCTGGAAGATTCTACAGTGGCCATAACATAACTTGAACCCCATAGAAAATCTCTGCTGGGATTTGAAGAAGGCGGTTGCAGCACACAAACCCAAGAAAATTGCTGAACTGGAGGCCGTTGCTCATGAAGAATGGGCTAAGATTCCTCAGAAACGCAGCCAGAAGCTGGTGTCTGGTTATACATCTCGTCTGTAGCAGGTCATAACAGCAAAAGGGTGTTCAGATGCTTGCCATGAAGGGGTTGAATAGTTTTCAGACTGCAGAAGTCATTAAAAGTTGCATTTTCAATTTGGGTAAACCACCTGAAACATTTGTTGTGTTACTTCTGTTTGATTTGTTCATTGCAAACAGCTGAACGTCTGTCAATTTTGCCAATAAACCTGATTTGCAACGGGGGTTGAATAATTTGGATTACAACTGTACAATAAACTTTTCTTAAGACACTAACCTAAAAACTACATAAGACAAACGTGGGCTGTTCTGCATTCCAACATCATTAGATGTTCATCATTAGCTAATCTAAATACAAATATTATTGAACCAATGCAAATGGGATGAACTTTGATAAGATCAATGTGTCTAAACAGTTTCAACCCTGGATATTTCTTTATACAAACATATCCATTCACCAAATTGAATAGCCCAACCGTATTTTTACACACCAGATTTGTTGACGTATATTCTCCTTGTATGCTTGACAGCACTCCTGGCTTCCTGTTCGGGAAACGAATTCTCTTTTTCCTGTCACTCATGTGTATTGTGGGAATCATAAATCACCTGATGCTCACCTATGGCAGCAGTGACTACAAAGAATACATTCAGACCATCACCAAAGCAGCGTCAACACTTCTGCTCTTGCCATGAACTGTGCCAGACAGATTTAACTTCCCCTGAGCTGAAACAGTAGAGTGAAAATACAGTAGTCAACATTTAAAGTATCAAAAAAGTTAATCAAAGTTGTCCTAAGACAAGAACGGGTATTGTTAAAAATTCATGTATAACTTTGATGAAAGGTTTTGGTCCACTTCAAATGTTGACTTCCGCATATCGATCGGTGTAGATAAACTATTTCAGTTAAGGGTTTGTCAGTTAGTCAGAGGATGTGACAAGAAAAGAGTAAAGCATTGATCACATTGATAGTCACAAAAGCATTTAATTGCAAAATGTTATATATATATATTATAAACACTTAAAAATCAACACAAGAGGAAAAAAAAAATCACAAGGCTGATTTTATTAGTACCATCCTAGTAAAAGGTTTTTGAAGAAATGTTTTAAAGTGGTCATATAATGCTCAGAGGGTAATGTGATGTTTTGCTCTGTGTCATCAGAAATATGCAGAATTATCCAGCTTCCTTAAAGTCCCACTGTAGTCGATAATTTTATCCCTTAAAACTCATCTTTAATCACCAAAATTACATATTTAAATGTTTTTTCCTTTCTTCATGCCTTAAAATAGCTTAAATGGAACTCTACACCCTTGCCTCATTTAGTATACGAGGCGGTCCTATGAATATGCAAATTAGCCCCGCCTCCACTTACTCACACCAGCTCAAGGATCCACTCGTTGATAATATCACTCGCCTCATAATAAGACTCATTTAAAGCAATGAATGTACTTACTGTGAAGTAACAAATATAACTCATTTCAAAAAGTGCTGTAACTACCTTGAGTTTGTGAGTATTTATGAAATTGACCTTTACTGCTTCAACAGAATTATAATTAAGATTAAATTCCTATGATCTCCATTTCTTTATGATCTTATGTACTATTACTAACATGAGCAAAATACAATTTTATTTACAATAAAACAGTCTTTTAATGTGCTTTAATGAATTACAGTTCCATAGCTCTCATGGTCGTCTCATCTGTGGGTTTTAATTCCACAGACTGAAGTTTTCAGTAGATGTTTGCAGTCTCACAAAACATTTTGGGTGTTGACCTCATCTCCCATGATAAGAGATCTGCAAAATCAGATTCACAGTCACATTCTCAATACTATACACCCATCAGAGAGGCCTGCTGAATTATTAAAACAAACCTTAAACTGTCGTTTGCTGAAGCCAAACCAGTAGGGAATGTCAAACAGGGCATCCGAACGGTACTTGATGGTGAAATGCGTGTCTTTCCAGGTGGGTTTCACCTTTTCTGCATCAACAAGGATTTGAAAGTTCTCACCGACCCATCCCTGTAGTGCAGCACTAACATCAACCTTTACAAAAAAAAGCATTTACTTTTCAGTATTTTTTTTTTTACCTTGCCAGTAAAATAACACCGAACATCATAAATCATTGAAAACAAATCTCAACCACAGAGGAACTCACATCAACTGCATAGCTCTCTCCAGCAACAGATGAAATAGTCCAGTCTAAACCTCTCTCCATCTCCCATCTGATCATTGGATGACTGCCATTGATCGCCACCACGTAATATCCGAGAGCTATAGACAATAAGAAGGGTGAGGCATTTGACTTTACAAAATACAGTATGCAACTGTGTCAAAGTTTAATAATCCCTTTGCTGTTAACATTGTGACATATAGCTACATTGCATTTCCTATTGACAAATTTTTACCACTTTAGTGATGTTAATATCAATGAGACCATAAATATCACTGTTTCAAGTACATATTTAGTACTAGGTCTGGGCGATATGGCCCAAAAAAATCATATCTCTGTATTTTTTGGTTAAATGGCGATTTACGATATATATATCTCGGTACTTTCTACGTTTTTCTAGTTGGATAAAGAAAATCTGTTTTTATTTTTTAAAAACTTATTTCACATCCTGCCCAATGATATCATACAAACAATGTTGATATTGAAGGATATAGAAACAAATATAGTGCATGTAATGTAGGCTATGCAATATAATATAAAATAATGCTTTTGTTTGTAAACTGACTAAAGGCTAAACTAAAAATGAAAATAAAAACAAAAGCACAAACTAATTATATTAGCCTGCATTTGATTGCCCCATTATAATTGTCACTTTCATAAAAAATACTTGTAATAAAAATTCCACATATGGCACATTTATTGTCTCCAACAACAAATATTTTAGCAATATGTATATTTTAGTCAGAATTATTGCGCTACTATTCTATTGTGCTCTGTCTGTTGGCGCGCTCATTCAAGCTTGAATTTTAGCAGAGATTCACTTGCATAAGGCTCGTCCTCTCCTGACAGTGAAATGGACATATTTGTTTGACTTTCTAACATTTACAGATGGAGAATATACCTGTGAAATGTAAGTTAAGCACTGAGGAAAGCACCACATCTCAAACGCATTAATCAGAGCAAGTAGCCTATTTATCTGTCAGTCAGCAACAGTATCTGTCTGAGCATCTGACAGGGCAAGCAGCTTAAAACTTGTTAACTATATCTTACCAGTAATTTTGAAGCCCTTAATATAACCTTGTGTCATGTTTAGAACAAATTGCACCATGTACTTTCACTGCAGCAGCTCACACTGCGTCCTCCGCTATTTTTCAGATGTGCTCGTATCAAACTAGTAACTACTGTATAGATATAAACGGAATTGCCTCCGGTATTTAACGCTATTGCCTCATTCCATGTCGGTTCAAAAATATATATCGATATATCTAGGGTTGGGTATCGTTTGGGTTTTATCCGATTCCAGTACCTACTCGGTATTTTTTAAACGGTTCCGGTGCTTAAACGGTTCTTAAATCGGTACTTAAGAAAATGAAACCGTACACACTTTATCAAAAAATAATACCCTTTAATTTACAGGGCCAAACTGGACACAATATTAACTTAAATCTTTAAACAATATAAATACAAGTAACATATGGGAATAATAAAACCAATATAAAATAAAAATTCATATTTACATAATATCAAATGAAACAATATTGTATCAAACAATGTAATAATACTGGAGATTAATAGAGATTACTAGCAGGCAGAGCTGCCAACTCTCACGCATTGACCGTGAGACTCACGCAAATTACCCTTTTCACACAGAAAAATCGCGGACAAAGAGGACACGGACAGACAAGACAGAGAAGGTTACTTTTGATATGGAACAAATCCACAGCTGTCAGATTCTGTCAATATTTTTACGAGATTCACACAATAAATAACGTTTTGGCTCTTTGAAATGTGACAGATCGCTGTAGCGCGTCAGTTCAAACGGCACGTGATACAGCAGCCTACAAATCCACTGCTTCTTAGGGTGCTTTCACACCTGTAGTTCGGTTCATTTGGTCCGGACTAAGGGCGAAAAATGATACTTTGTATCATTTTCAGGCGTTTTGGTTCCTTTTCACACCACACTGATTGCTCTGGTCCGAATCAGATGATGAGTTGATGAAACGAACCAAAATGCAGTCACGTGACAACATCCACATCACTCGTTGGCCAGAGGTAACTGCACTTCGATTGGTCAGAATCAACGTGCGGGAAAATTCCAGAGCTCCCGGAAGTAAACAAAGAGGAGGAAAATCCGGCAGACAGCGTTTGACTATGGAGAGTCTACGACTGCGTGGGCTGATAGTATCCCTGGTCATAGTATATTACTTTAGGCAAACAATTACATTTCATAATGAATCGAGGATGCGGCTTGAACAAAATGTTTTAATGCACTGCACGCGGCGAAGTCGCACCTCCTCAGAACTCCACGTTTGTCCGCGAGCTGCATGCTAGTGCAAAATGTCAACATTATTCCTCATCCCATAAAACACAGCGCGGCTGACTACGGCAGCTGGTTTAGTCCAAAAATACGCAGTTCTCTGACAGTTGGGTCTGTTCGAGTTCGGATCACGTTCTCACCACAAACGAACCGCTCCAGAGTTCGTTTGAAAGCGTACCGAGACCACCTCTTCGAGGAGGTCTCGGTACGCTTGTTTGGTCCGCTTTTGGTGCGCACCCGAGTGCGATTGCTGCTTTCACACCTACCCAAACGAACCGCACCAATTCGGAAAACGAACTCTAGTGCGATTCAACCGAACTAAACAAGGCAGGTGTGAAAGCACCCGAGTGAACCTATGAAAGAGAACATCTCTGGTTACTGGTGTAACATATCTCTCAATAGGGAACGAGACGCTGCCAAGCTCCTCGCGCTGCCGACCAGCTTCCTATTTCGGCAAAGAAATCTGAGGAGCAGATGGCGCGCGCGCGCCAACATAGTATGACGACGTAAGTGCGTCGATGCGGCGCCCGCGCCATCAGCCAATGAATTGGCTTGATTCTATATGGGATTCAGACTATCGGCACACCCAGAGGGCGTTCTGACACGTAATTTTACACGTGAAATGCAGCCAAACCTTGCGAGAAAGAGCGCGCTTGCGAGACAGAAGAGACTGTGCTCCAAACTGTGTAGCACACGCACGGCGGAGAGAGAGAGAGCGAGAGACCTTGTGTGTGTGCGTGTGTGTCTAATGAAGTTAGGCACCGAGATCAGGCACCGAAATTTTCGTTCTTATTCGGTCTGGTTACTACCGTTTACGTCGGAACCGGTTCCCTATTGGCACCGAGTTTCGGTACCCAACCCTAGATATATCGAACAAACTCAATATACGTTCATTGTTATTGTAATGTGCTTTGAGACTAGGGTTGGGTACCGAAACTCGGTGCCAATAGGGAACCGGTTCCGACGTAAACGGTAGTAACCAGACCGAATAAGAACGAAAATTTCGGTGCCTGATTTCGGTGCCTAACTTCATTAGACACACACGCACACACACAAGGTCTCTCGCTCTCTCTCTCTCCGCCGTGCGTGTGCTACACAGTTTGGAGCACAGTCTCTTCTGTCTCGCAAGCGCGCTCTTTCTCGCAAGGTTTGGCTGCATTTCACGTGTAAAATTACGTGTCAGAACGCCCTCTGGGTGTGCCGATAGTCTGAATCCCATATAGAATCAAGCCAATTCATTGGCTGATGGCGCGGGCGCCGCATCGACGCACTTACGTCGTCATACTATGTTGGTGCGCGCGCGCCATCTGCTCCTCAGATTTCTTTGCCGAAATAGGAAGCTGGTCGGCAGCGCGAGGAGCTTGGCAGCGTCTCGTTCCCTATTGAGAGATATGTTACACCAGTAACCAGAGATGTTCTCTTTCATAGGTTCACTCAACGCTGCGTAGCTAAGAAGCAGTGGATTTGTAGGCTGCTGTATCACGTGCCGTTTGAACTGACGCGCTACAGCGATCTGTCACATTTCAAAGAGCCAAAACGTTATTTATTGTGTGAATCTCGTAAAAATATTGACAGAATCTGACAGCTGTGGATTTGTTCCATATCAAAAGTAACCTTCTCTGTCTTGTCTGTCCGTGTCCTCTTTGTCCGCGATTTTTCTGTGTGAAAAGGGTCATTTGCGTGAGTCTCACGGTCAATGCGTGAGAGTTGGCAGCTCTGCCTGCTAGTAATCTCTATTAATCTCCAGTATTATTACATTGTTTGATACAATATTGTTTCATTTGATATTATGTAAATATGAATTTTTATTTTATATTGGTTTTATTATTACCATATGTTACTTGTATTTATATTGTTTAAAGATTTAAGTTAATATTGTGTCCAGTTTGGCCCTGTAAATTAAAGGGTATTATTTTTTGATAAAGTGTGTACGGTTTCATTTTCTTAAGTACCGATTTAAGAACCGTTTAAGCACCGGAACCGTTTAAAAAATACCGAGTAGGTACTGGAATCGGATAAAACCCAAACGATACCCAACCCTATTTGAGACATAAGGGAATTTGCCATTTCAGATTCTACTGTGTGCATTCATGTGTTTTGAAAGAAGCATGGGCTTAGGAGACGATCTGAATGGATCTGAACGATCTGATCTCTTCAAAACGAGCCGATAAGAAATTGCCTACCCTACCTTTAATTCCTGAGTTAATTTACAGACGCAGGTCAAAGACTTTCACTGTGTGAAATAATATTAATAGCAATAATAAATCATACCTGGAACATCTCTGTTTCTCTTTTCTTCGACCGTCGTGTTGGCGCATGCAGACACCAGTATGTATATTGTCATTGAGGTAAGTTGTCGTCTCAAATCGGTGTACTCTCCCAAAGTTCGCACCGTGATTTTCCTAAAATTGCCACAAAGAGTTACAAAAAGCAAGCTTTATCTAAACATGTATATTGCCATATGATGTTATTTGAATTAATTTACCTTCCTGGAGAATTACAGAAAATCGCGTTTCCTTTGCTAGACTGGATTTCATCGATGAACACGCAGCTGTTCTCCTGGTCCCACTTCACGACTGTGTAGCCCTCGCGACGCTCGGCACTGAATCCACGAGGAGGGCTGTTTAAAAACGACTCAAGCTCGATAACGTCCATAACAAACCGCGAAATGGTGTTTTGACGCATGCTATTTCTTTTTTTAACTTCTTGAGGACACGAGTGATTGTCCAGCTCATGAGTCCGTCGCCCTTTGCTTTGGTTCGTTTGGTGGGCGTGGAGCTGGTTTACGAATCTGTGGGCATCAAAAGAACTTGAGTCATAACTCAGTAGTAGAAGTTTAACATTGTGATGGGAAGTCCGAGTTTTATTGTCATACTGATAAATAGCTGGGTTAATTAACCCAGTTCTCATTTTAAACAGCAAACAAATACATCATGGTAAATTTAGTGATTTACTACATCTTTCCATTAGTCACTTCAGGTCAGTTTACCCTTCAGTGCAAGTTGCAACAGCGTTTCCCTGTACAAAAAAAAAAAAAAAAAAAAACCGTGTTACCTTCGGAAAATATAAGTCATTCCCCATGCAGGAAATAACCCCATCTTAAACCGGACTAAGATGCTTGGCAGACTACGAGTTGATGTGTGGATGGTTTTTTAGAGAGGTTTGGGTGCGTTTTAGGCTGAAATACCCATCTGAACACCAGTTTGGCCAGGCTGGAACATTAAAACAGCAAACTCGTTATGTATGCATCTATATCCAAAGAACTATATAGTTGTTTGATAGTTTTAACTTAGTTACAGTGTCAGTTTTACAACAACCATAGAAAATACCCATATTGTTCCCCTATTTAATGATAATTTCCCAAGTTACTCAAGGCAGGCAATGATGGTGAAGGTTTTCCACAATTTCAAGATGTTCAGCTGGTTTAGATGGTTGAACAAACTACAAGACAGAGGACCTAGTAGGCCATGTGACCTGGTTAACCACAGCACAGCTTGAACAGATTGACCAAATTTTAGAATGTTATGACCTGCTATTTCCAGTAAAAATATTACCATTGGGTAAACTCAATTTCTTATTAAAATATCAATAACTAGGTACAACACCATTCAAAGTTTGGGGTCAGGACACTTAAAAATAAGAAACTAATACTTTTATTCAACAAATATGCATTGAATTGATCAAACGTGACAGTAAAGACATTTATAATGTTATAAAACCACAACTGTTTTTGTCATTGATAATGTTTCTTGAGCATGAAAGCAGCATATTAGAATGATTTCTGAAGGATCATGTGACACTGAAGATTGGAGTAATGATGCTGAAAACTCAGCTTTGCCATCACAGGAATAAATTACATTTTAAAATATATTAAAATAGAAAATAGTTGTTTTAAACAGTAATTTTTCACAATGTTAGTTTTTACTGTATTTTTGATCAAATAAATGCAGCCCTTGTGAGCATGAGAGACTTTCAAAAACATTTTTTTTTTTAAAAACTTACCAACACTATGTAGTGTATACGTATGCAGATATCTACGATAAATCTTAACATTAAGTCATAAAATGCACAGACAAGCCAACAGCACCTTTACAAACGTCGTTTTTTAATCATTTAAAAAAAAAAAACTATAAGGTTTCCTTATCTTTTAAAAATAAGATGATAATTCCGAAGATGTAAAAATCAAAGTCAAATGCAAACAAGACAAATAACAAAGAGAAGTAAAAAATTTATTGCAGTATTTGCTCCTCCACACATGCTGGGGTTCCCTTGTCCCGCTGTGGGGTGTAGAGACCCAAACTCTGACCCAATACATCAAAATCTAGATTTACAAAAAAAACTCCCTTCCATGTCGGCAACAGATACTGCATGCTCTGCTTTAACTCAATAAATTATGTCCAGGAAACTCCATTTTACAGCACAAAAGAAGTAAAACATAAAGCAGAGGAGATGTTTAAAAGTTTATTTCCCTGGAAACGGAGCTAAGCTAAAGAAATCCATCCGGTGCTAGGTTAAACTCCAAGGTCACTTTATTAAGAACATCAACAGACTAATTTCCAACATTCACTTTAGGTTTATTTCTTTAAACAGATTTTTTTTTGTCAGAGATATAAACATTTTTTGTTTCTGTTTTGTGTTAAACTATGATACAGTGGAGGGGGGGAAAAATTCAAACAACCAAGTTGCTGCAGAACAGCGAAGGAGCTCCATTTCTTTCTTTTCCGTTTAACTTAAAGATGTACAGGATTCACATCTACATTTTCCAAAACAGACCACCCTTTCAAAACCGTCGGTCCTTAATTCGACCAGTTCCGCACTGGATCTTAAAACCTGTGAGTCTGTAGTACTTTTCTCTCCAACTTAAGTTTACAAAACGTTGAATCCTGATGAAGTTTGGCTGCTGAGAGTTTGTTGGGTGCAACAGTTCGGGAGTTATTACAGATTTAATTAGCTGGAAGTTCCTTCCTTGGCTGCGTACAGTGAACGTAAAGTCTGCACTACTTTGTTGGTCAGTTTGTGTGCGCTCGTCAAGGCAATTTTCTTGTAAATAATGTCAGACTCCTTTATAGTGTCCACCCAAGGCACCAGTTTACGTCCGTCACGTTTCTTGGCCTCCGCCCAGGTACCAGAGTACGATCCGGCCATCCAGCGAATGCTGTAGCCTGTGCTTGTCTTCTGAATAACACGTGCTATCTGCGGCCGGTCCTTATACTTGGGGCAGCAGATAGCGATGACGTCCTTGGCGTTTACCGTTGAGTTCATGTGACCTGATGCCTCTGCGGAATCTCCGCCTCTCCTGGATTTCCGTGATGACTAGAAGAGAACAAACAAATGGAGTTTTAAAGTGACGGTAACACCGAGATGCAAGACATCAACAGTCAAATAAAGAGCTTTCTTACCCCAGGAGCCTTTTCGTCCGCATCACTGTCGTCATCGTACGAGTCAGCAGCATTATTCTTGGGGCTGGAGCCTCCTAGTAGAGAAGTGATGGCTTTATTTCTTGCGTGGGCTGAAGCCTCACCCTCCTCCTCTTCCTCATCTGGGTCCAAGTGTTCCATCAGTACTTTAAACTGGAGAGTAAACAAGTTAGAGATGGTACGTTAGATTCATTGTTGTGAGTCAGTTTAATAAAACAAAGTCTTTCTTTTTTCATACTGTTTATTAAAATGTTGCAAACAGTGTTATTTTAGTATTATTTATATAGTATTATAGCATTTATTTACATTTTGAATTAGCTTTTATTTTGATATTTTTAGCTTTTATTTTTATATTTTCAGTTTAATTTTCAGTTTTAGTCATTTGTGCTTGGCATTTTTTATTAGTTTTAGTAATACTAGTACTTCAACTTAACCATTTTTTTCATTTAGATGCCAAGAAACATTTCTAATACTCATTTAGATAAGTTTTTCATCTAATATTTCATCTAATATATTTTATTTTAGCTTTATAGCGAAAATGATTTTCAATAGTTGTAGTTAATATCAACACTTGCTTTAAATGTTGGAAAATTGTTATACTCGTATATAAAACTACACATTAAGCCATATTTTCATATTATGCATATATTAAATTATTAAATAATTCTTTCTAGTCTTTTAATGAAAACTAGTCTTGATTATTTGACTGAAGAAAAAAACAATCCATTTAATTTTTGAGACACTTTAGAGCAAATAAATAAATAGAGATGATCAAAAAGACTGAAAAAATATTAGCAATAATAAAATAGATTTTTTTTAAATACTAAAAAAATACAAGACAGACATAATCATTTAGCTGCACCTAAACAGCACCTAACTATGAGGCAAAATACAAATCAAAAGAGGAAAATCAGAATGTTTACATCTAAATATTGTCTGACGACTCTCCTCTTGACATCGTAAGTTAGATCTGCATTGGACAGGCTGTTCGTCAGGTAGTCCAATGTCTGCCGTGGGTTGAAATGCACATTGGCCTTCCTGTTTACAGCCTTGTCATACACTTTTGCAGATTCTGTAGGCGAGTACTTCAGAATTTTACTGCAGGAAGAGGAAAAAAAGGCCGGTGGCCATTAACATATTAGTTATTTCCAGAGCAGAAAGCATTTGGACTAGCAGTTAAAGCTCACCTGTCAGAGAAGCCGTAGAGGTTCTTAAGGTGCTGCTTGAGCATCAGGAGCAGCAGGATGCCCTGAGAGGCATTGGCAAAGTCCAATAAGGGATTGGGATTGTCAGGAAGACGCAGCATCACCTTGTCCACATCCTCTAAGTCGAGGTCTGAATCAGAGTCTGAGTTCACTGCAGCAGCTCGCTTGGGTTTCTTGGGCCGACGAATGACATCGTCATCACTGCTATCACTGCTGCTTTCCCTGCTACTCTCATCCTCTTCTTCAGAGCCATATTTTTTCCCTCTCTTTTTCTTCTTTTCCTTCTTTTCCCGTGGTCTTGGCTCTTTCAGCAAAGACTACAATACAAGGCAGGTTTGTTAGAAAAATAAATGTCAGCTCAGCTCACAAAAAAAGGGTGCAAAAAAAATAGGACCAGAAAATGAGGTCAGAGTGAAAGATGCAGCAACCCTGTTAGCAAAATCTAAATACACTTAAAAATCACTGTTAAAAATCATTTTTGTTAATTGAAATAAAGCTCAAATAAAAATTAAATATAAATAATAGATGAAAAACTTCAAATGTCCTAAAACAATTAAAGCTAACACTGAATTAAAATAAAGCTAAATCTATATATTTATTATATACATATGACAAAAGCACACAACAAGATCACTCAAATTTAAAAGACAATTAAAAATGAATAAACACTACAATAGCATGTTTAGAAAAACATGTTTTTGTAAAACTGTATTTTAGAATTTAAAAAAAAAAAAATTCTAGCATAAACCATAAAAACAAAAAAGTATATATATATATAGATATAGATATATAGATATATATAAGGGCTGTCAAACGATTAATCGCGATTAATCACATCCAAAATAAAAGTTTGTGTTTACATAATATATGTGTGTGTATAATTATTTTTAATACATAAATACCCACACATGCATGTGTATTTAAGAAATATTTGCATGTATATACTGTATATAGACTGAATGTAGCCTATATATAATGTATATTTTATATAAATATAAACATTTTATATATAAATAACATATTTTTCTTAAATATATACATGTGTGCATTTATATACAAAATAATTATACACAGTGTACACACATATATTATGTAAACACAAACTTTTATTTTGGATGCGATTAATCGTTTGACAGCCCTAATATATATATATATATATATATATATATATATATAAAAGAGTTTGGAATCAAATTTTGTAGTTATTGACCAACATAAATCTACTGCTGAGAAAGCAACGCACCTCTTTGAAAGACTGCAGCAGGTTGCTGCCGGACACAGACAGTGTGATGTCTACATGGTGCATAATGAACAGCGGCTCTTCCTGACTCTGATAGGGGAAGCAGGCGAGATTGTCTGCGATAAACAACAGCATGTTCACGTCCGACTTCTGCATGAGGAGAAAACAAAATAGCATGATTAAAGGCCTCCAAAACACAAACCACTCAAAAAGGCTAACGCTATAGGGAAGCATAAACTGGAGTTACCAATGATATTACAAATGAAAACACACAAGAGTAACATATGATGCAAAACATTAAAAAAGGTCACTAACTGCATTGTCGTCAAACAGGTTGAGCAGCGAGATGAGGAAAGCCCTGCGGTGTTGCCTGTTTCCGCGCACCATGGTGTAGAGGTGGGAGCAAAGAGCAGCGTTGGTCTCATCCAGTCGGAAACCCCTGATTACCGTGTCCTTTGAACCCACGATGGCTTGCTGCACCTGATAGGACATCTTCATCCCCGCCACAGCCTTCATCTGTTTGGATAGCACATAGTTAGTTTAATAGGACTGGGTAAAAAAATATTGATTTCTCGATTTTAATCGGCCTTATGAAATCCCATGAATCGATCGTTTAGTCCATGCTGTTTTCAGCTGATGAATGAACAGAACATTCATAGCGCGCCTCCCACCCAATAAATCACAATAAGCTTTGTTACTTTGAAACAAAGTCTCAGATTTTAAACGCTGTCAATTTTATTATGAAGTGCGCTGTTTAAAGTGACATGACGGATAGAACCTCAGTTCAAGTGGCACGTGAACTGATCAACTCTTCCGCTTTACCTCTAGTTACAGCATAAAATAAACGTGAATGAACATCAGAAGTTGTTGAAAGATGCAGTACTGTACAACTAACCGAAATCCGTATCAGGTCTCATGCAATCGCTTGATCAGTGTTTCAACCGTGGGAAGATATCAATAAAACAGCTTGTAAACAATGTCTCGTCACAATTAAATATATGCACCATATTACATATTCATATTATATATATATATATATATATATACACACTACCGTTCAAAAGTTTGGGGTCGGTACGATTTTAAATACTTTTAAAAGAATTCTCTTCTGCTAACCATGGCTGTGCTTATTTGATTAAAAATACAACAAAAATCAGTTATAGTATTAAATATTATTCCAGTGTAAATCAGCTGTTTTCTGTGTGAATATATAGTAAAGTGTAATTTATTCCTGTGATCAAAGCTGAATTTTCAGCATCACCAGTGTCAGTGTCTTCAGTGTCAAATGATCCTTCACAAATAATATGAGGATTTGATGCTCAAGAAACATTTATTATTATTATCAATGTTGAAACAGTTGTTGGTCTGTCAGTTGTACAGTTTTTTTTGTGTTTTTTTTAGGATTCTTTGATGAATAGGAAGTTCAAAAGACTTTTGTAACATTATAAATGTCTTTACTGTCACTTTCGATCAAATTAATTATTCCTTGATAAATAAAAGTATTGATTTCTTTCCTCCAAAAAATAAAAATAAAATTCTCACTGACCCCAAACTTTTGAACGGTAGTGTATATGTATATATATATATATATATTTTTTTTTTTTTACTGTTTTTCAATATTTAATGCATGTATGAATAAATCCATCCAAGTATTAATGACAGCCACCATTTAAATTGATTATATGTTAAAAATGATTGGAGTAGAAATATAATTATGCAATTATAAAGTTAGTATTAAACTTCCTTGTGTGTAATTAATGTGTTTGTATACAAATCAGTTCATTTGAACCTTCAATAGTAAGGTAGTACCAACCTCACAGTACATTGAATCAAATCATGACATTTTTGTATCAGTGAGATTCCATTAACGTTTTTATTAATATTTTGAATTAATTTTTATTTGTATATTTTCCATTTTCATTTTAACCTTGGTTGAAGTTTTTGTAATTGTGTTGTGTGGTTTTGTTATTTTTATAAGGTTTATTTGTGGTCTTTGTAATTTTATGTTTTTATTTTTATTTTTGCAACAAACTGTATGACACTTGATGACTTTTGTGGCACTTGTTATGTGAACACAAAAAATAGTCAAACTTGTACTTCCTCGCAGTGAAAAAATTACCGCCATAGAAATGTAAGGGGGAAAAAAGAAAGAAAGAAAACAAAAATAGAGATTTTTGGAGGCACAATCTACAAATCAGCCACAACGCAGGAAAAACAGCATTGAAGGGGTTAAATGTAAAAAAAAAAAAACGAATATTGCAAAAAAAATCTATGGATTGATTAATTGTAAAAAAAAGTACCATAAAATTCCCTCAAAATACAAAATATAAATGAAGAATATTATTGAACAAAAATATATTACCGGTACATTGATTTTACTGGAATTTGTTTGGGCCCCCCTAAATGAGGAGCACTGGAGAGTTAAATGTCTATATAGTTTTCATAGTTTTTTAGTTTTAGTTATTTTAGTACATCAAGTTAAAGAAAATAAACTTGATTCTGATTGGCTAGATAATGTAAAAAAAAAAAAAAAAAAAAGTATAATGCACAGGTAGTTCCAAATCAGTTTAATCATCATTCTAAATGAATGCGCTGTTTTCATTGAAGCGCAAAAACATATATCACTTGCACACAGAGATCTCGCACAGAAACTTGGTCAACGCTGCCCTGCGACTTTTATTAATAAATTAGCTTCACAACTGAATCGCAACATTATATTATATTACAAGGAGGCTGTAACATAGCTATAAACTCACAGATTCATTGCTAGTAGAGAGATGCTGCACAGACACAGTTAATTCAAAAGAACATGTCTCTCTCTCTAGAGACATGTCTCTAGAGAGAGAGAGAGAGAGAGAGAGAGAGAGAGAGAGAGGCTAGTTCATTCAAAGGATCCATGATTTGATTGTACCTCCGCTTTGCGTCGGGCGGATCCTCCACGTCATGCATTAAAATAGTTTAATGCACAGCTAGCCATGGATTATCCCTTACTTACATCATCACACATGACGAATGCACGTTAGTTGCTTAAATCTCCTTACGTGAATGAATCCCGTGTATTTCTTGTCAATTTCCACCAGCTGTTGATCGGATTTATTCCTCATTGTGGGTTCTAAATCCGTTCCCATGGCGATAAGATATGGAACGCACTGATGGAGGAAAAGGAAACAAGGATATTAAACTAAAGACACTTTCAGACTGGTTTTGGGAGAGTTTGTGCAGTGGATACGTACCTGTACGGGATGAATGAGGCCTTGGTTGAGCGTCAGGGCGATTACATTGAGGGCAAAGTGCCGCACGCTGGATTGCGTGTGGAAAAAGCTCTCTAGCACCTGCTTGAGGTAGAGCTGCATGATAGAACTGCTCATGCCAGAAGAGATGTCACCCATCTCCTTCAGGTCTTCCTGCTTGGACAGCTTCTTCCCTGCAATCCAAAGAAATAGAATGAGAATGGAAAAGGCTAATTGGATAGCTACTACCAAGCTGAATTAAACACAGACAAGAATGGTCTTTATAAACGACACTCACACTCCCTGTCGGCTTCCTGCATGCGCGAGTCCTCCTCCTGCAAGTAGGTCTGCAAGTTCTTTAGCACCTGGATCTTCAGATTTACAGACGTTTTCCTGTCAGCCAGGAGGAGGTTATAGAGGTTTTTCACTTCCAAAGCAAACATTAGGTCTGGGTGCTGGATGAACAGGAACCCTGGAGAACCAAAAGATCCGTTATGTTGACCATGAGAGCAGTCAAATGTAAAAACAGGAAATTCAGTGATCATGGAGAGCAGATATTTACCTAGACCAATGATGGCCTTGGTCTGCACCTCCTCATCATCGTTCTTAGTGAAATACAGCAGCAGTTCCAGCACTTTGTCCTTTATGACCACCTAAAAGAGAGGAAGACCATTAACCAGAAAGGTAAAGGAGTGAATCTCATGAAAACATGTCCAGGTTACATTTGATAGAAGATAAAACACACTTTAGGACCATAAAGATGTCAATTAAGCACATTTTAGCCAAAATTCTCATTACCATAATGTGTCTGGATGTTTTTTATATTTAAAAAAAAAAAATGATTCTCATTACTGTCAATTGTGTTTCTTATTAGATTCTCATTTCTGTAATACAGTACTTGTTATAGTTTTTTTAAATGATTTGAATCAGCATTAGAAGCAAAAATTATGTATATAAACATGTACATTTATCAACTTATTCACATTAACAGCAATGTTTTTGAAAATATGACTGAAATCATTTAAATAAATGAATACATAAATTTGACTACTTAGTTTCATTGATGTATTACAAATAGCGGTCAACTTTTATTAATTTTTGTATTTCTTAAATACAAAAAATTAATTATTAATCATTGTAATTATAATCTACATTTAAAATAATACGATATAATTTATTTGTTTGCATGTATTAATATTTATATGAATAGAATTTATGTGTTTTGATTTTGGGAATTCATAAGACCTGTTCTTTGTTTTAAATAGATTTTGGAATTAAGAAAACTCTTGAAACATTCTGTGAGATTAACTGAAAAATGTAGATTTAACGATTAACTAAAGCATTTCTTGATCTAAAAAAAACAACAAATAAATAAACAATTCAATTATTAAAACTTGACTACTTTTATTAATGCATAAAAATATTTATTTTATAATCCAGAAATCATGTGCTGTGACTGGAGATCTAACCTTATTACTGCCTTTGAACTCCTCTTGGTCGAAGTCGAAGTGTCGGCACAGGGCCCCCACAGTGAAGAGTGAACGCAGCAGTGCAGGTTTATTAGAGGCTAGTACGGTGCTGTTTGAGTCATCCTGATGCTGCAACTTCAGCTTGTTTAGTGCTCCTTCACATGGGAGAAGAAGAATTTTTGAGTGATTAACACTCAGGGTCAGAGAAGAGCAAAAGGATACTGATCCTGGTTTTGAAATGTACTCACCATAGTATCGGTTGAAACAAGACCACACAAACTTGAAGTTATGGGTGACCTTATTGACGACCGCACCGAGACAACTCACACAGTGTTGAACAACCTGCAGAAAACAAATGAGATGGCATCGTGAAGCTGCTGCCGTACAAAAACGCTGGACATCAGAGCTGTTGATACTCTCACTTCAACTGACCGTCATGCCGTATTTGATGATGAGTTTCATCAGGTCTTCTTCCATGGTGGTGAGAAAGTTTTCACTCGGATGATCCATCAGAGGAACAACAAGCTCCAAGATTTTAGCCACATTACAGATCACCATAAAATCACTCTGAGACTGTAGGGACACAATAAGCACCTTCACTCTCTGGCCTCTAGATGGCAACACAACACCACTTATTGCAATAAATCCAGAGTTTCTCTACAGCACACTCACATTACACTTTGTGGTCAGGTACGGCTGCATAGTCATGGCGTGTTTTACCATCAGCTGGGGTCGGATCTTGCTAAACAGGTACAGCGTGGTAATACAAGCCACTAGGCAATTGGACGTCAACCCCTTATTCTCACAGTCTGCAAAACAAGAAAAACAACTCAACAAAAGTTCAACTAAGGTAAAGCTTTTGCTTCATAATTCAATACAGGTCTTACCAGCAAGTGACTCCTCGTATTTCAGAATATGGTCCACGAGACTGTCCACCAGCTGAACACAAGCCTTCCTGGCCGGTTTGTATGAGGCGTCCTCCTCTGACTTCAGCAACTGTGAAGACAGATTACAACAAGGATATCATTTTTATCTAAATAAAACTACACTGATTACAGTAAAAACATGCTCCGGCCAAACCTGGGAGTAACACTGCGGACACATTTATAGATGCTCTGCGAAATTTCGTGGGCGAAATCCAGTCATTTCAATAGGAATCCGCACGACACGAGTTTTGTGAGAGGGAGAAAGTTCCCCAGGCAGATTTAGTTCATGTTTAAGTTGGTCACACAAATTTGCTGCACTGACCAACAGAAAGCTGTTTTATACGCTGTGCTTTATACGTGTCTGGCTACGCTATTGACAATAGACATCTTTTGCCTGTGAAAGGTCACCTAAAATTTGCTTATTGGACTGCAGCTTAATGCAGCATTTAATTCAACTCAGAAAGTCATACTTCAAAAAGTGTAGAAACGGAATTAATTTAAAGTATTTTGCTTATGCATCATCCCTTTTGAGGTTCAAACCTACATCCTTTCCCGTTACAATCCCATGCTGCGTTCACGCCATGTCATAATTACTGTAAACAAAGCTCCGATTGCTTTCGAATCGCTCGTGTGGTACTTTGATGTCATACACCGATCGGTCGGCACAGCGCCGCTTCAAGTCAAACACACCTTAAATCTGCAGTGGTCAGGTGGTACAGCGGCCACGTAGTACAAGCTCTCACAAAATGACACGTTGTAATTTAAAGTTTAAAGTTATGGTAATCACAACATGGTGTGAACGCACCTCCAGATCTCTGAGAAGCTCTAAATGAACCAACAACTAAGCAAAACAGTCAACACATATATATTGAAGAAATCAAAATTGTCCTTGAACCATAGATGGGCAACTTACATTCTGAAGCAGCTGTTCGAACCAGTCGTAACCAGAATCCCTGCAGGCAGCGACCTGAGAAACAAAGATTCTTGTCAGAGAGACATGTAACCTTATACTTAATGTATTAAATGCACGCATCTTGGGATCAGATGGTTTTTAGCCCGTTCTGCAGATCCTTACCACGTCTGTGATATTGAGAATCTTGCGAGTCATGGCCTCTTTATCATGATTAGGTGTAGGAGTGAACCAGAGCTTCTGAAACGTCTCATTCACCAATTTCTGAACAAGAGACAGAAAAAGTAAATAAAGAAATAAAAGTATATATAGTATATAAAAGGGCTATCTGAAATTTTTTAACCTTAATTACATGATGTGGCGATTAATTAAATCGCAAATGAATTGCACATCCAATTTGGCAGTACCGGTAATTACCCCCAAAAGATAACTTAAAGTCATTATTGTGTTAAATGGGAAAAGCATCAAATAAACATCACAAAAAGTAACTTTAGAAAAAATATATTTTATTTGATTCAACATAGAATTTATAACACAAACTTTTAGGCTTCAATGGTCATGAGGTTGAGTAAATTACAGAATTTTCATTTGTGGGTGAACTGTTTTTTTAAAATATTTTTTTTATATGGAAATATGAAACTGAATTAAAACTGCCAGTAGGTGGCGCTAAACGTCTAAATGAGTAAGTAATTGAGTCATTCATTCATTCCATTTGTTCAAACGGCTGATTCAGTCATGAATTAAGTAAATGGCTCATTCTATGAATGGGCCATTGAATCATTGGTTCAAAATGCGGATTCATTAAGAAGCGAAACACTCAAAGTTGCTCAAAGATGCACAACAGTTCTACCCTGGCTTTATAGGTAATATTTTCGTTGGCAAACTTGAGCAAAAGCAAACAATATTGCATATTGCAGTATCACATTTGCACTCATCCTTTTTGGGACAAAAACAGCACTTGTGTGATATTGCGCTTGTTACTCATGTGATATTGCTTAACCATATCATGATGAGACAAAAACTCATACAGGGGCATTTTTGCCCTGAAAGCTTGAATTTTAGGGGCATTCTAGCTGCATTATATAGGCTTCATCACGCAATGAGTTGTTGCCCTGCTTCATGTTCTTCATTAAGCAACTTTTTGAAATGTTAAGGGGGGGGGGGGGGGGGTAGGTGCGTTAAAAATTTTAACACATTATTATTATTATAAATTAAAGAGTTAAATCGACAGCCCTAATATATATATATATATATATATATATATATATATTTTTTTTTTTTTATAATGGGGCTGCAATAAAATAAAAAATAAATAAAATAATATAATATATAAAATAACATAAAAATGTAGGGGTTACATATTTGTATTTTTGTGTATTTAGGCTCCTATAATTTATATATATATATATATATATATATATATATATATATATATATATATATATATATATATATATATATTAAATTAAATAAAACATTTAAAAGAGAAAACATCACAAACCTTGATGCCTTCTTCGTCATTGACCCTCCTGATCATCTTTACACACATCTCTGTGATCTTGTTGAAGGTGGGCTGCTCCAGACAGATGTCTCGCAGGATTTTAATAACCCTCTTCCTCACACTGATGCCAGTGTCCTGAAGAAAACACATTAGCCAGCACAAGTCAGCCTACATTGCTAACTGGAAATAACATTATGTATTAAATTCACAAAAATAAAACCGTAATTATCGCTATATAAACCCAGACAGAGTGATGGATGTGAAGCGGAGAGGTCTTGTATCATCCTGAAGTGGTTTATTTCATGACTATTGCCAAATAAATAAATAAATTGATGTGAAATATTGATTTATAAATAGCTGTTGTTAAAAAAGGAGGGGGGAATTCAAAACATTTGGAAAATTCAAGAATATTGTTTCTAAGATTGATATCATACATACAGAATCTGATAACAATATTGTAAGTAACCATTAATATTAATTTGTATTGTAGAATTAATTCCTAAAGAAAAAAATGTTCTTGTATAAAGGGAAAAAAAGAAAAAAAAAGATTTTTTTTTATATGAGACTGCTGACTACTACTAAAGACATTAAACTAGCTATTAAAGAAAATCTGTTAGGGTCAAGTCAAAGAAATATTCTTGCCACCATTATACAAAAAAAAAATATTTGTCTGCAAAATGCTACAATGCGTAATATGTGCAAAGAAAAAGCACAAACCAGGATGCGCTCGATCAGCATGTCGTAATACTGTTCGGTTAGCTGGGGTCGACTCAGTACGAAGCGCCCCAGCAGCTCCACCGCAGCCTCTCTCACACTGGTGGAATTATCCATCAGTCGGCCATGAACTCCCCGCTGCATGTCCGACTGCAAACGAGAGCATTAAAAACATGCACATGAGAACATTAAAAAGCATTAGATTTTTCCAAGAGTAAAAAAAAAAAAAAACTGCACTCACCCGCGCCAGAATGCTCGGATCCACCGCAACCACTTCAGAAAGACACTTCATCGCTTTAGTTCTCACTGCTATGGCACTTTCACCAAGAACTCTCAAGATCTACAGACACAAATGGGGAGACATGTTATTGAGATGCAAATACAATGGGAAATACTGAGAGATGTGGTGACCTCTAACCTGTGTGAGATAAATATCAAAGCTCTGTGCAAACGGCCTCATGGAGGCCAGATATCGCACAATAAGACACGAGTCCTCATAGTCCACAGTATCCGAGTTGACTCTACAGAAAAACACAAAGCAGGTTTCAAAACACTTCCAAACAAGTTTTTTAACTGACTATTTAAAGAGGTCATGTTATGCCCTTATACAAAGTATTTTTTGTTTTCGGGGTCTACTTAAAATAGGTTTTCATGCTTAAATGTAAAAAACAACAACTTTTCATATATTTTACATTGTTGCAGCACCTCTCTTCCCAGTCTGGCAGTAACCTATCTTGAGCCAAATAAGTAAGCTAAGCTGACAATCAGTACAATCTATATCTTTTATTTAGAATACATACAAATGTCATTTACGTCTTTTAGTTTGTCAAGAGATTTAAAGGGTCATGTTCGAAGAGTGCGCATGTGCGAACGCGTTCTAGTACGCAAGAACAAGCCTATGATTGAATCTGGAAATAAAGCAAAATTACTGAGAAAAATTTGAAATAGTCCTCAGGTGCCATGTCCATAATTTATAGCAAAACATCTAGAATTAATTCGATCTCAAATAGATTCATTAATAGAAGTTATTAGGCTACTCCACCATGTGCGTGACATCATTATCCAACGTGGTTGAATGACCAATTTGCGACAATACAGTTTCGGGAAACAGTCGTGATTAGCTAGTTGATTACTTCAACGATGCATCATACTATAGTTGTTAAGCAGTGAGTTACATCATTGTACAGGAAAGTTCCAGTCTCTATAAAGCCACTCCTTCCAAACAGCATAATGTGCTCTGATTGGTTGAACCAGTGTGTTGTGATTGGTCAACTGCTTCTAGCGTGTCTTCACGCTCCTTACCATAACCGCAAGTTTCAACACTACTAATGCAACTCAACCTCTTTTATTTTGTGTATGCCTTGGAATTATTTAAATGAGGAATATAGTGACGTGTAGGCTATGTTCCCGGAAGAAAACTCAAGACTGCAATCGAGGCGTTTCAGGGAGTTCTGAAGCAGTGCTTACAGACATAGAGAATATCTCCCTTTGGAGTGACTTTGCAGACCTTTTTCATGCTCAAACAGCAACATCATACACTAAAGAAAGTTGAAAATGTAAAAAAGCATAATAGGTCCTCTTTAACAAAGTTGTTGTCATTGTAAAAATGGCTGCCGTTTGTACCTCAGTGAGCTGAATTTTGATGCCGTGGTCTTAATAACAGACCGGAGGAACTTCTTGCGTGCTTCGGCTTTCTGCAAGATCTCACCAGTGGTCTCGACATCTCTGGCGTGGTGCGGCCCATCGGACGAATCGTCGTCCCTGTGGCTCTGTGATTTCATGGCTTTCTCGGTCTCAGTGCTGGTATCCCTGTACCACTGCGCGATGTAGAACTTCCGTGCAAACTGTTGGAGATGAAGACATCACAACAACATTAAAACCACCAGAGGCACTAGTTTTCCCAGAGAATGTCAGAGAAATTCAAGTTTCACAGGCAGGCTTTGTGATTTTGATCCCGTCTAAATGTGCCAAGTCTGTGTTTTTCTCACACAACCTCAGTAAAAATTCCAGAGCAAATTACCTAGTTTTTTTAGCCAACTCAATTGTACTATGAGAAATCTAATCCCATCCGAAAGCAAATGTCTGGGTAACACTTTACAATAAGGTTCAGTAGTTAACATTAGTTAACTACCTTAGTTAACATGAACTAAGAATGAACAATACTTCAGCTTTTATTAATCTTAGTTAATATTAATTTCAACATTTACTAATACATTATTAAAATCAAAGGTTGTATTTGTTAACATTAGTTAATGCACCGTGAACTAACATGAACAGCTGGATTTGTATTAACTAAAGTTAACAAAGATTAATAAATAATGTAACAAATGTATTGCTCATGGTTAGTTCATGTTAGTTAATACATTACAATAAGGTTCATTAGTTAACATTAGTTAAAGCATTACCAATGTCTGTGACTGCGGATGTTGTATTATCCTAACGCTTCTCCACATGTGTTTTTTGACCTGAGCTACCGTTTGGGCACCAATCTTCCACATGCTTTCGTTTCATTTCAATATGGATGGTATCCGACAAAAAAATAAAATGATAAAATTTATAAATAGTCAATTCGAGAAAACTGCTAGGACTGCCCATTTTAATATCAGTGTCAGTTAAGTTAATTGTCTAGATTTCTCTCCTCACTTATGTGGGTTTATTATAAACAGCCAATTCTATAAACTCATGTGAAGTTTACTTAAATAGTGCTTTTATAATAAGTTAAAATTATATCAATAAATAATTAATTAAAAGACATCATACGTAATGCTCACAAGCACAGCACATGACTTTCTGTAACGCCTACGACATGTAGAAAACACACCCTCCCACCTCTGTAATAGACACAGAGATATTAGTCCTGTCTGAATTGTTTCATGAAAATCACAGAAGTTGGGTGATAAGAACTGCAACTCAAACATCATTTAGAAAACTAGTCTAGATAGGGCTTTAGTTTTTTTTTTTAGCTTACAATATTGTCTGAATTTTCTCACCAATAGTGACGGGTCAGTCTCTACATTCTCGTTCAGGTAATTCAGCAAAGCCTTCTGCAACTGCTGAATCTCATCACTGCCTGAGCTCTGTAAAACACAAAACAACATCAGTTTCATTCAGACCAGGAGGGATTAGTCCATGTGATGCACAGATGGGCGGGCTCTGCCTTTTACCTCTCCGAGGATGCGGTTGATGGAACGCTGGTCCATTTTGCTGGTGACAGCATCTTTGCGAAGACGTGCGGCCACTGTGCCCAGATAATCCAAAGAGGCCACTCTCAGAGCCATTTCCGTCTGCTTATTACTGAACTGGTGAACCTATCAAGAGAAAACAGGACATCATTTGAGTTTTCAAGTGATGTAACTGGACAAATTGCAATCATCAAAGCCTGTCACATTCTACCTCTGAAATATCAATCTGAAACTCACCAGCAGTCTTCCCAGAAGGCTTAGCAGCAGCTCTGCAGCCGGCCAATCAGGTTTATTCACCGTGGACAGTAGATCCTGAACAAAGTTCTCAAAGAGTGGCCTGTAGTCGTCCTCACCTTGCTTACTACCACACCTTAAATTAAAATAATACAAATTAAACAACCATAACCTTTTTTTTTTTATGAAAAATTATATTATGTAGCTATTATCAGAGCATCTGCTGCATGAAACTGTGCAGTAATGTTATTCAGTAAATACACAATAATATTTTTAAAAATAAATAAATAAGTGTCATACAGAATCTATGAAGAAAAATAAATAAAAATAGATAAAAATGTATTAATTTAATCACAGAGTACAAAAGATTGTGTAGTAAAACTACAACAATGATAATTTAGAGATGCAGGTGCTGTTTGTCCGAGAATGGCAAGGTTAAAAGCATTCTTAAAAAGCATCAGATGAGAGTAAACCAGGTGTTTCCTGAGAGACTGTAAATACTCAGCTCAAAGCCACGTGGGTAGACAAAAAGACATACTTAAAGTAGACATACTTTACTAATTCCAGAAGGACGTTGTTTAAATATAAATGACTTGAGGTTAATTTTTTCCCCCAATATAAATGGGTTGAGGTGTGTTGCTGGAATAATGTCGGTGGATTTTCTTACTTTTTGAGGAAAACGGAGAGGAAGTTTTGTGCTGTCCTCATTGCAGTCTCATATGAATTTGTGATCAGTACATCCTGATCAACCTGAAAGAAATAAAATGTAATAACCGTATAAAATATGCCTAAAAGGTATAAATATCAAACATGAAACATTCTTGGAAAGAACTTTCTTACCAAAGAGGCTTACAATCACATATTGTATTGTGACAGTCATTCCAGCATGTAGCTATTAGCCAAGATTACAAACCAGAAACTAAAATGTGCTCAAAAAATCCCTTAAAACAGGCTTTTCTTGCAACTGCAACTTTAATACCTCAGTCAATATTAAATATAGTCTAGATGGAAATAGGGGTCCACGTGCCCCCCCGGCTTTTTTTATGCCACCTTATTTTGTTAATTCTTAAAGTGTCTATTTTCAGAATCTGATACGACATTAAATATGTAAATAACCTCTGCTATGATTGTCTACAATATTTGGGGTGATATTGTTTTAAAAGAAATTAATGCTTTTATTTAGCATAATTGATCAAAAATGATAGAGACTTTTTGATACAAAATGTTCTAAATGCAGTTCTTTTGAACTTTCTATTTAAAGAATCAAGTTTCATGAATCATGAAAACAAGTTTCATGTCTTTGATAAAAAAAAATATTGATAAGAAGAAATGTTTCTTGAGCAGCAAATCAGCATATTAGAATGAATTCTGAAGGATCATGTGACACTGAAGACTGGAGTATTTTTTAATAATATTTCACAAATATTCATGTAATATTTCATATGACTGTTTTTTTCTGCAACCTTGGGTAACGTATGAGACTTCTTTAAAAAAACAAATGTTTTTACTGAACCCAAAAATTTCGTCATATACTAATAGTATGACATCATACCGGTGACATATTCTGAATTTTTGCAGCATAGCTTTCACAAATGTTTTGGATGGCCTGTAGAAGCTACATGGACAGTAAAAGCTACGGTGAAAATCAGGGTAAGTCAAAACAGTAGGGAAAATCCACTTTTCCATGATATGGCTCCATTAAAGAAAGTGCCATGTTCTTAAGTCAAGAGCAAAATGTCACTACAGAGCCACAACACATCTGAAGATCAACTCTTAACTCTTACCTTTCTGTCATTATCATCATCCGAGTCCTTATCAGACGGCAGATGGACCACACACTGAATGAGCTGCAGAACCAAAGCCGTCACCATTTGAATGTACATGGGCTCCCCATCCACATCACTGCTATTCAGTCTGAACACACAATAAAGTCAATACACAGGCTCAAAACATGCCCTTGAAAACTGGTTGACTGGACAGCAGCAGATACCTGAAATTTCTTAAGTTTCTCTTGCTGGTTGGCAGTCTGGCGAGTGAGGTAAAGATCTCCTCCAGGATCAGCTGCCTGTGCTTCTCGTATCTAGAGAACACCTGGGAATCGTACAACATAACAGTGTTAGACGCAGTTAGCACAGGAAAGCATAGCATAAAGAAATCTGAACTGCACTGGTACTTACAGCCGTCACTAGTTTAATGGCACAAAGCTGCAGTTCACTCACATTCTCAACAAAGAATGGAGTGATACCCAGAGACGAGATCTGTATGGAGAGAGATACAAGTGCGGATTTCATCATTTTGCTAATGGAAAAGCAGATTTTTGAAATGCGTGAAATGAAAATGTACTACAATTGTATTCTAATACATCTTTCTCTGCTCAATTCATTGGTGCATGAAATGTTTGTCTTCGAAATATCTTGTGAAAATGTAAATAACTAACTAATCTAACTTGATCCACCTCTGAAACAACTTTTCTTTTTGTAACTGCAGGGTTGAGGGCAGCATTTGGGACAGAACATGAGGATGTTATCCAGAAGAAGCAGCAGTCAGGAATCAGACTCTCACCTGAAGGATGGTCGTGTCAGTCAACAACTGAATCTCCAGGAGTTCAGACAGGTTACTGATAACATCACAAACTTTGTTGTAGAGCATGATAGTAACTCTCTGCTTGTGCGTTGAGCACTTTGCTCGCTTGGCTTTTGAGCTTAGTGTTCCACCTAAAATAGAGCAAGAATGGATATACCAGAATTTAGAAAATTGTGGTGATGACAGGCATGTGATCAGCTAAGGAGCTATGGACAAAAGAAGAACAATGATAATAATAATAATAATTGTTATTTTATTATTATTTATATTTTTTTATTGTATTTTATTATTATTACGATCATTCCAATATAAATATTTATTTTAATATAAATTAGTGCTGTCAATCGAGTGCCTTTGATATATCAGGGCTCAACACTAAGGTTTTTTTCTACTGGCCCAAGTCAGGCCAGTTTAGATTTTTACCTGCCCTGCTAATATTCAGAAAAAAAGTTATTGTTTTCTTTGTTTTTGACCCATGTAACCTTGTAAACAGTGATTTAAGATTTTCAGGTAGGTCTAAAAAAAAATTTATAATCAAACACTGCACAGTCTTCACTGCATAAATTATAAATTGAATATAGATTAATGCTTGATTTTCTCTTTGTCTTTTGTTTTTTTTGATTAACATTAATGACACGGACAGCAGCAGGCTTATTAGGCTACTGTCACTTTAAATTAATTTAAGGAAGAGAACTCAATGCAGCACTGGAGCGCTGTCTAAAGTGGGATTCCTTTCGGGTGCGTGTGTTTCTGAAGTTTGTTCACAGTACAGATTTGATTTCTTTTTTTTTGCGTCTTATGCTTGAATGGTTTAATAGCACGTAAGACAGAAAAAACAGATAATGCGGTAATTGCGTAAAATATTTTTAATGTGTTAAACTGAAGAAAAAAACCCCCCCGCAAAATTAACACGTTAATTTTGACAGCCCTGATATAAATCTTTAGCAATCTTAAATCTTTATATATTATTATTACAATGATACTATTAATCTGCATCCAGTGTGCAGAGCATCACTGATTATAATGGGTTCTATTTTCTTTTGTCATGTTGTGCCACTTATGCCTGGTGTAGACACGGAGAAAGGGTGTTCTGCGCATAGCCGGTAAATAGCGCCACTAGCTTGTGTAGTGTTGTCAAAAAGCTATGGTATACATGCCACTCTAAAATACATTTATTCATATTTACGCACTTTGACGGGATAAAAAAAATAAACAAAGCAACTGACAAGACGTCTGGTTGTACAATACTTTGTGGCCCTGCCTCATAAGGACAAAAACTGAAGTTAGCATGGAATAGAAAGGATATTGTACGTTAAGACACTGTATCAAGGTGCTTCACTGACCGCCATGAGGGTTCACCCTGTAGACGGGGTCATACTGTGGGTACAGCGTGTTCTGTAGATGGAACTTGGTGTACTGCACGACCCTCTCAATAACATCCTCAATGTAAACGGCCTTCGGCATTCGTGCTGAGGTCATGACGTTAAGAGCCGTTAGACAAGCATCAGCAGATTTGGTGACACGTTCCATGATGAGGTCACGCCACAAACGCTCCTCGTCGTCCCTGTCGTTGCCCTGAAATCACAAGGACAGGGAAGCTGTCAGCGAGATTTGACGGCAAAGCCATTTTGCCAATAGAAACTACAATGATACTTACATGATTCATGAGGGTGGAGAGCTTCGCACCATCCTGAATGTTTTTTTCCAAAATACTCTGGACTTTCACCATCTTATCAGATGGTATCTGAGGATAAAAGCAGTAAATATTAAAAGATGAAGTACACATAAACCTGCTTTGTTATTTATGTCTCCTGTCTCTTAAAACTGGTCTCAGTCTCTCCTGTTGGCAGAGGTAATCCAGTACCTACCTTATGCATGATGCCCATGGCCTTTATTTTGGCTGATTCACTGCTTAACTCTGTGAGCTGGTGTTTTCCGAGCAGCAGTTCCTGAGGAATCTCGTCATCATCTGCCGCCGCAGAAAAGTTCATTAAATCAATTGCTGTCAAACTCTCCATGTCAAATGTAATAATTTCTCCATATTTGCACATTTACCTAATGATGTCAAGTCCACATCTTCAAGGTTTTCAAGAATGTTGTCAACACTGGTGGAAAATCTCTTAAATGTGGAGGAGTCCATCATTTCTGAGAAGCACAAGGTGGATTACTAAAGATCTTAGCATCTCAGATCGCTCATAGCTGATTACAAACTGCAAAAACGTACCGTCCTGAGTCAGTTTGGGCTCGTAGGATTTCCTCTTTTTCTGCTTTTCCTTCTTCAACTTTCTGGCGACTGGATTTAAGGGGTGTCAGAGACCAGTTGTTTGATTTCCACACTTTGACCCATTGTTTGCAACAAAACTGGCAAAATTACCAACATAATAAATGCTAACGCGTCTATCTGGTCACTTACGGTCACTCAGGCTGGGAGGGGGTGAATCTTCTTCCGAGTCCACAGGGCTGCATTCTCTGTAACGACTGCCTGAACCTCTCCGACTGTCGTGATGACCGGCACTCCGTCGGTGCTCTCCGGAACCCCTCCGGTCCTTTTCTTCACATTCCCACGTTCTGTCTCTGTCCTTTTTTGACCGCTTTGGGGCCACTAAAAGCAAGGAAGGAAGAAAATTTCAATGGAAATACATAAATCTCTAATATCTATGAAGTTCTCAACTCAAATAATTAAGCAGAGAAGACATTATAATTCAGAACAACGATTGGTGACAGCCAGACAAACTGTCACTTTAAAAATAAGGATTTTGATGCAGAGACAGCTTTGATTATTCATCAAGATTCTTATCAAATGCAAACAGCTCCCAGTTGTACTAACAATAATGATGAAACCCTGATTTCTAAGTGGACTAAGTGTGAAAACTACATTAGATTCAGCAAAATTACGTACGTTCTACAGAGCTGCTGTCATCATCTGAGCTGACTTCGGCATACTTGGGCTTCTCATTAGTGGCGCTGCGTCTGCGTTTATTCATTTTCACCCTCTCACACAGTGGCATACGGGAATCCATTTCTGGCAGGACATGACGAAGTTCTATCAACATTAAATCATCGAATCCCCCTACAGAGAGGGCTACTCAAACTTCAAATGCATATACAGACAGTCTGTCAAATCTGTGTACAATGAACTAAACACTCTCCGGTCACGAAAAAGCAAGAGAACAGGGACTTACCTCCGAATGATTTGCCATAAGACGACTTGCTCTTGCTTGACTTAGAGCTGCGCGAATTACTGATCAACTTCTGGACTTCATCAATGGAAAGTTTCTTCAGAACCACAACAGGTTTAACACCCTTATTGAGGTCCTCCACCAGGTCCAATTTTTCTAATTTCACACATGGCTCAGAAAACAGCTCTCTTCGCACTTCCTGCATGATATTACCATCTTTGTCCCGTTTTAACTTGGGAATGACAAAATTCTTTAATGCACCCGATTTGCCACCCAGTAGGTAGTTGGGAAATTCTGCGGTTTTACTGTCTGAGGATGGAGGCTTGTGTCCATCGAGTCGGTTCTTGTTGTCGCCGTTCCGTTTCTCATCTTTGTTGTTGGAAGTTTTGTGGACTGACCGCTCAGGTTTTGATCTGGATTCTGCTCCCATACGGGGTTCTTGCTTCACTCGAGGGCTGTCAGGGCGCGAGCGCTGCTCAGGGGAACGTTTGTCTCGGTGCTCTGTTGATTTCTTTTCTTGGTCTTGATCCCTGTCCCGAACCCTTTCCCGATCTTTCTCCCGTTCCTTGTCCCGATCTTTCTCCAGTTCCTTGTCCTGATCTTTCTCCCGTTCCCTGTCCCGATCTTTCACACGTTCCTTGTCCTGATCTTTCTCCCGTTCCCTGTCCCGATCTTTCACCCGCACCTTGTCCCGATCTTTATCCCGCACCTTGTCCCGATCTTTCTCCCGCACCTTGTCCCGGTCTTTCACCCGCACCTTGTCCCGGTCTTTCACCCGCACCTTGTCCCGATCTTTCTCACGCACCTTGTCCCGAACTTTTTCTCGCTCCTTGTCCCGATCTTTTTCTCGCTCCTTGTCCCGATCTTTTTCTCGCTCCTTGTCCCGATCTTTTTCTCGCTCCTTGTCCCGATCTTTTTCTCGCTCCTTGTCCCGATCTTTTTCTCGCTCCTTGTCCCGATCTTTTTCTCGCTCCTTGTCCCGATCTTTCTCCAGATCCTTGTCTCGATCTTTTTCCAGCTCCTTGGTCCGATCTTTCTCCAGCTCCTTGGTCCGATCTTTCTCCAGCTCCTTGTTCCGATCTTTCTCCAGCTCCTTGTTCCGATCTTTCTCCAGCTCCTTGTTCCGATCTTTCTCCAGCTCCTTGTTCCGATCTTTCTCCAGCTCCTTGTTCCGATCTTTCTCCCGCACCTTGTTCCGCACTTTCTCTCGATCCTTATCCCGATCTTTCTCCAGCACCTTGTCCTGATCTTTTTCCACCTCCTTGTCTCGATCTTTCTCCCACTCTTTGTCCCCATCTTTTTCCTGCTCCTTGTCCAGATCCTTCTCCTGATCCCTGTCTCGGTTGTGCTCTACCCGGTTGGACTTAGATGTGTCTGGTCGACGGACTTTAGAACTTTCACTGTCTCGATCTCTATGCCTTTCCTCTTTGCCCTCTCGAGTTGACTCCAATCGTCCTTCGTGTTTTCGGGAAGTTTCGTGACCTTTTCCCTCAGGCCTTACTTTGTCAGGTTTACCGTCATGTCTGTGCTTGGAGAGATCCGATCTCTTTTCCGAACTCACTTTGTTTGAGATGTCCCGGCGGTTCTCATGCTTGTGTTTAGGAGTCTCTGGTCGTCCATCTGAAGCGGTTTTCTGTGGAGTGGTTTCCACTCGTTGCTTGATGACCTCTGGCCGACCGTCTAGTGTCTTCTGCACCTCTCCTTCTGTTTTCAATTTGAGCCTCAAGACCCCGGTGGATTCAGAGCTTTCCTCTGGCCAGCGCTGGGCCTCTGTTGCAGGGACAGGACAGGAGTCCACTGGCCCTTCAACCCTGCCTGCCTGTTGCAGGTCAATACTGACCATCAAGGCTGGCCGACTGGCTCCATTGCTAGCAGCACAAGCCTCTTGAGGTACCAATTTGTTCCCAGCATTGCATCCACCACCCACGCCAGGTGTTCCAGAAGCTCCCGCGGCGCCAGCAGCTCCTGAATCCTGCTTTCTCTTCTTCAGAGGTTTATCTGTAGAGTTACAATCAAACAGATAAGAAGCAGTGTTCAATACTAGTTGACACTTTCATCAAGAAATTTGAGTGGTGTTTGCCAGTGCAAAACTTGTTAACTCTATGCTAAGGGTTTTTGCAAGGGCATTGCTATCCGGTTGTTTAGGTATTTTGAATGGTTATTAGCATTTTACTATGTGCAGGGCCTGAATTTCGTTTTGAAAAATGGGGGGGGAGGGAATCTAGGTGATTCTTATGGGGGGATTTTTTTTATTTGAAGGGGAGTTTAATTTGGGCATTTTTCCCCCAAAAAATGTATTACATTTATCTCGCCTAAATGTTTGCGCTCATTGCATTCTTACAACGGGGTAATATTGTTGTTAAGAATTTACACAACATAAGGAAGCTTGATTTAAAAATTAATCAAATTGAAAAAAGTAGCACAAATAAATACAATAGAGTAAAGATACAAATAAAGAGAAATAAAGAGAAAAGTTTTTGAATAGGTCTAACACTAGTATTCAGAAATACAGAAACTGAAAGTAATCAAATGGAAAATAACACTATTTAATTTAGTCAGAACTAAAATACTACCCCATAGGCTATTAATCCTGATTCCTTAAACTTAAAGCTATCTTTTGTTGTTGTTTTGACAACAAAATTAATGACAGACACATATGGCTGCCGTCACTTTAAGAGTTAGTGCACGGATCCTGTGTTAATTATATTGTCACATGCGTTTTATGCTTATTAAAGACATAACCGACTGTGTTTAGAGGATACTCGCGAAGACCGAAATTGAGACACAATGTTGCGTGTTAAAGCAATATAATCCGCGAAAAAGAACTTTTGTTACTGGCGGGCTGTTTTTGAGGCGGCTTTTCTATGTAGGCTATGTGCGCATAGAAAACCATCTCTCAGAGAGTGCACAAGCACTGAATAGTTTAAAATCGCTTGAATGTTTAAACTGGTAAGACTTAAAAAGACGTGCAAATGGTAAACTAGTGTCAAGATGCACTGCTGGCCCGATTGTGCAAGTGAATATTCCATCATGGGTTTTAAAAAGACTGATTTGATTTTATAATCTGTGTGGATTCATTTACTAATACAACCTACATGCTAAAGTGAATCAATGGTTGCATGAATTTCCCGCATTATAAGTGGGAGACCTGCGGGAATGATTAGAATTATGCGCAATACCCACAATCCCATGCCGAAATTCGAGCCCTGATGTGGTTCCAAGGGCCCTGCTATGTGGTTGTTAAGCTGTTTGGTTATTAACATGTTAATATGCTGTCTTTATGATGTTCTGGGTAGTTTCCAGGGCCCTACTTTGTGGTCCCTAATGTGTTCTGATTTGTTGACGATATGTTACTATTCGGTCGCTAGGATGTTCTGGGTAGTTTCCAAGATGCTGCTATGTGGTCCTTAAGGTGTTCTGAATGATAGCTAGCACGTTACTATGCATTTGCTAGGATGGTCAAGATGCTTGCCATGGCACCGCTTTGCAGTTGTCAAGTAAGGTGCTACTATGCAATTGCTAGGAAGTTTAGGGTGATTGCCAGGGCGCTGTTTAGTTGTTGCTAATGTGTTCTGATTGGTTACTAGCACGTTGCTAACAACTTCTGGGTGATTGCCAGGGCAACTGTTTTGCAGATCGTCCCCTTGGAATTATAAGGTTCTATCTGAAATTTTTGTCAAAATTTAGTTATTCTTATTCTGTGACCACTTCTTTACATTATGTGATGTTGTTTTTTAAGTTGTGTACATTTTGGAACTTTTTATTTAGAAAATAAAAAGGTTCTTTCTACACAGTCAAATGGAATGCAAAAACTTTAAAGTTCAATATCTCAAAACTGCTCAGAACGCAGATAGATCCTTATAATTCCAAGGGGACGAGATGCTAAAGTAAGGTTACTATATTACTGTGTGGTTGCTAGGATGTTCTGGGTGCTTGCTAAGGTGCTGCTTTGCCGTTGCTAATGTAGGGCCATATGACCACCAAACTGTTTTAGCCAGCTGAAAACGCCAGCACTCCACTGAAAACACCTAGTTGTGAGCGCTTGAGCACTGAGGCGGCGCAGCATTGGTTCTTTTCAGTTGAGACACTTTGGTTGCTATTATATGGAATATCCGTGGAAGTGTTATGAGTATCTGATTCTGCAGACTGTTTGTTTCTTAATATAAAAATGTCAATACAATGTAAATTATTTGCTCTGGGTCTTGTTTTAAATGATTTTGTTCCGTTGTTGTGCTTGTTGTTGTCGTCCGTTGCCGCTGTACAAGCAGGATTTGGCGGTTGGTCGGTGTGGTATTTGTTTTGCCTCTCCTCCACTGTGATTGGACAGCTGACTAAAAGTAGGGTTGCACGATATATCGAAATTATCGAAATATTGCAGATGTACATTTATGCGAATGGCTTGCGATATCTGAATGATTTTAATAGGCTAATCCTACTTGATGTTAAAAAGAGTTATTAAGCTCAATAAGCTGCAGAAAACAGCTCATTGATGTACTCGCGCTGTCTGACACCGCACACAGAAAGCCACCTCTCAGACAGCGTGATCCCAAATTCAATTTCTTTTGCGGCTTATTGCACTCGAACGGTCAAATACACACACAGTCATGTCAGAATGCCTGTCTTGGCGAGTATTCTTTCCCAACGTAAACGTTGGGAAAGAAATCGGATGTCTGTCAATAGGATCCATGCATTAGGTCTTAAAGTGACAGCAGCCTAATGCAGTATACCTTTAACCTATAAAACAACAAAAGAAAAAGAGAAAATAACTCACTGCTCTTGACTGAATAACTGTGTAGCTTTAATATGAATCAATGTGTATTTAATTCATGTGAAGACTATGCAGTTTATTTTTTACATTTGATTATTCAGTTTCTGTATTGTTTCTCACTTGAATGCTACTGTTAAATAGAACTAATGTAGTCCTACCTGACAAACTTAAAGCACAGTTTATTTCATTTGTATCTTTGTTTTATTGTATTTGTCATTGTTTGTAATTTGCCTCTTTGTTCTTATTTTTAATAACAAATTTAAATTAAAATACCAAAAATAACTAACCCTCCACCCCTTGTTTTACCTGGATGTATTTGATGTTAAGTTTTCAGGTTTATATAACTATATATTACCAAGTTGAGCAAAGAGTTGTTGGTATTTAAATCGTTTTGGTTTTTTTACATTGATGTTCAAATGGCATTGTCAGATTTGTGACATAAATTTGTATGTAATGTTAAAACACTGCTGTTCACTTTCAGAAGTTGAAGTGATACTTTATTTTCCCAGAAAAAATGTGAATATTTATTGGTTATATAATTTTTCAGTTTTTAAATATATTTAAATTAATTTTACACACTTAAAGCAATACCATATTGTATATCGCATTATTAAACAAGATAAAGTATATCACATTTTTCTTCAATATCGTGCAGCCCTAGTAAAAAGTGACAGCGATGAGCGCTGCGTTTTACCCGAAGTTTAACATTCTTCAACTCACGTTAATCGTAAAAAAAAAAAAAACGACCATTGAGAGAAATTGAAAAAAATACGCTAGCCTCAGGAAAAAATGCTTTGGTGGACACGCACGCGGCCTATGGTTTTACTTGCTGTTAATAGTTGTGGTTCTGAGCGTTGATAGTTACACCGTTACATGCACCACTAATAAAAGCTTCCATACAGATTAATGCATTTAGATTAACTGATCAAAAGCATGCATCTCAAGTGATGAAGAGAAAATAAACACAACCTTTATCTTGAACTTCCTTAGAGCAGCGTTCTCGTTCTATAGCGGATTCCCTCTCAATCCTTTCGATCTCAGCAAGAGCGTCCAGCTCTGCCTCGTCGTAGGGGGTTCCACTAACGACCCCAGGTTGCTTGGCTGCAAGTGCCCCAGTGTTCTGTAATACAGGAACCTGCTGGTAGGCCGACTGCTCCCCCGAAAGACACTGGCCAGCAGAGAGCCGCTCCTGGGGGTTCCGATGGTATGGTAAGCTATTGCACGATAGCTCATTCTCAGCATCTGAGCCATGCTCTAGCGCAGACAACGGCTCAGCTGACTGCTCCGTCTCAGATGACTTCACTCGAGACAACTTTATCGTTAGCTTTGTGGAGTCTTTAGTGGGCGAGCTGACAATGTCATACATGGCACCTTTCCCCCCCTCCTCTTTCATTAACTTTTTCTGCTTCTTTTTCCGTTCAGGCGAGTCCAACAGGAGGTCAGGAGCTGCATCTCTTGGAGAGGTGTAGGGTGGAGGAGACTGAAGAATCAAGGGCGGCCGAGATCCAACTGAAATTTAAACAACATGAAGAAAAACTTCAGTGTAAATACAAAAAAAGTTTGTTTTTGTTTTTTTAGGGTTGGTGCAATTTCTGCATCTTTGCACGCCCTATCACACTCACTATCCAATTGTTAATTCTGATATCACACATCTCAGTTTCCTGGTCCAAATGCTCTACCAGATCCCAAAAGCAAACAACATACGGAGCTAATATACGGTAGTCAAGTCACATTGATTTATATAGCGCTTTTTGCAATACAGATTGTTTCAAAGCAGCCTTAGAGAGATAACAGGAAAATAATGCAACAAAGTTTGTCTTCAGAAGAAAATAGCATCACAGTCCAGCTTAAGTAAGTTCAGTGATGTTTCATTTTTGTTGTAAAAAAGTTATTAATTTAGTTAATTTATATATATATAGCCGTTCTGGCGAAAACCGTGATGTCTGTATACACTGATGAATACGTGATGTATATACACTGTAATAGTGCGTGCTGTAATAGTACCCAAAAATCATGATCCTAACACTATCTACATACCAAAATCTCAGTTGGCCAAACAGTGATTCATCTTTCATGAATTGTTAAAGGGTTAGTTCACCCAAAAATGAAAATTCTATCATCATTTACTCACCCTCATGTCGTTCCAAACCCGTAAGACTTCCGTTCATCTTCGGATCAAAAATTAAAGATATGTTTAATAAATCCTGAGAGATTTCTGTCCCTCCATTGACAGCTCCGCAACTACCACTTTGACGCAACAAAAAGTTCATAAAGAAATTGTAAAACTAGTCCATATGAATTGAGCGGTTTAGTCCAAGAGCCACGATCGCTATATACATAACAGACTTAATTTGAGCTTTTATTCACATATAAACATTCATCAACACACACATCAGTTATGGTAAACGGAAGCTCAAGCATGCTTGCTTAACGTGCGAGAACCAATGAGGTTCATTCTCACCAATGAGGTTTGTTCTCACACGTTAAGCATGTACGGTTGAGCTTCTGTTTAAGTTCACTGATCAATGTTTATATGGGAATAAAAGCATAAATTCAATCTGTTCATCATATAAAGCAATCCTCTCTCTTCAGAAAATTTGGACCGCTCAATTTATATGGATTAGATTTACGATCTCTTTATGAACTTTTTGAATTGTCAAAGTGGTAGTTGCGTAACTGTCAATGGAGAGACAGAAATCACTCATATTTCTCAAATATCTTCATTTGTGTTCAGAAGATGAACAAAAGTCCTACAGGTTTGGAACAACATGGGGGTAAGTAAATCAAGACAGAAGTTTCATTTTTGGGGGTAATCTCACCCTTTAAAATATTGGTGTCCAGGACACTGTACGCCCGAAGACTTTAGTTCTGTCAGGACCACTATTGTCAAATACGATTGCCAATTAGCATACAGTTTGGATTGGTCGATTTGGTTCTGTTCTGGGCAAGAACTCCCTGCGCATCCATGCAGCCTAGCATGGATAAGAGCCGATTGAGCAGCAATAACTCCCCTTAGGGTAAACAGAACCAACAGATATCATTAATGTCAATATTTTAATGTACAACATAATTTGAGAATTTAGTCTGATTCAAAGGGGAATCAGAATACCAAATCCTGACTGAACGAGAGGAGAAGCTGGGGATGGATGAGGGTAATTAGCTCCTGAGAAACGCAATAGCAGCTGATAATACTGAAGGAGCTTCTATATGGATGCTGTGATAGGCGTCGTATTCCTAATGGTAGACGTGGATCAGCTGAGAGTCAGCTGATCCGAGCTTGACTAACGTGACCAGCCAGAATTAACGTTACGCTTGATTTTGAAACACCTTAGTTTTTGTTTTTTTAAAGCTTAGCTTAAATGTGTGCTATAAACAGCTTTTCTCAACTGAAACGAGTAGAGGCTTTGACCAGACACAGTATTCCTTACATCACTAACTACTTAAGTCAGTGGTATCATTCTTGTCTCTGAATATGTTGTCTTTGGGGACAGCAAGCATACTTATGCTATACATCCATGACAGACAAGCACAAGTGTACGTATAAAGTGTGTACATTCAAAATTAAAATAACATGAATAAATTATTGCATTATCTCACCCGGAGTTGATACCTACTTACTGTGGAACACAGCTTCCGCTAGTAAACACGATGACGCAAATGTACCCAAAGTACAATGTGAAAAGAGACCAATGGGGAGGAAGGAGAAGCCTAAGAGTTAAAAAATGGTATATGTACAAAAATGGAGGTGCAATCCACCTTTCGGAGTCCCTTCACTTTCAGCAGGAGAGCAGACGGAGCGTACAGAAAAGGAGGCATTTCTCAAAGCGGGGTCACTTTCCTGTGAAAACACAGACAACATGAGTTGTCAACATGAAAATATGCCGGGAGCAATTGAATTAAGAAAAATTAATTTGGAGACTGAAATATTTTTAGGGTTATAAAACCTTTTCTTGGCAAGCACTCACTTCATTTCCGAGTCTCTGGACGATGCTGATGTACTCGTCATTGGAGCAATGCCTCGCATTGTGGTTAGAGTTGCCCGACACTTGACCAGAGACCTTGTTGTCATGGATGTTTCTCATGCCACTAGGAACTATTGGACTGGATACGGACACTGCAACACACACACACACAAAAAAAACCTCATTCACTGATTTTTTATTTGGAAAAATCTCCACTGATTAATCGTTCACAATAAGACTAGGAACATGCATTAAAAAAAGTACATACACATTTAATTTTTCGATTTTAACAGCCAGGGATGGTTTTCAGTCGTATCATTCAGAAAGGGATTGGATAAAAGACTCACTACTAGCAAATCTTATTAAAACCACTATTCCTTGAGCCTTGAGGTGTTTTAAGACTACAGACACTGAAAATGGTGACAATCCTCTTGAGGTTCTCATCACAGGAGAGCGTGGACTCACCTTGCTGGATCTGTTGGTGCTGAGGGTAGCTGGGTGGGTGGCTGTACTGCATGTAGCCTGCAGGGCTCTGTGGTGCATATGGGCTGGGCACTGGGCTGTTCTGCTGGGGAATGTACCTGGTACCAGAACCCGCCTGAGGTTGAACATATCGGCTGTCGAGTGAGAGTGGAACTGGTCAGTATATAGGGTGGAAATGGAACCAGTTTCTTTTTCTGCATATTTTAAAGGTGCTCTAAGCGATGTTGGGTGACGTCACTTCTTGTTGACGTTCCAAGTATTGTCAAACAAAACGGAGGCTAGCTAGACCCTCCCTCCTCCTCATCCCGTCCCCGTCACCTCCCTTCCGTGCTTCCTGAAACCGTCATGAACCCTTTGACCGCTTTCCCGATGTAAATTTGGGACTTCGCGCGTTCCTTCTCCTTTTCCCTATTCTTTGTTATTTGTTCATCGGAACGTCGTCTCTTAGATCGTGTGTACTGTCAGCCATATAAAAATTCTAAAGAATATACATTTTTAACGTTAGTCGTTTTCGTTGTCTTGGACATCTCTCCTCTAGCTAACTTCTCTTTCCTTCACTCCCCACACCCCCCTTCATGTGCACGCGCACTAACTCCCCAACCCCCACCCCCAAATCATTCTTGTCGGTTATTGGCTGGAACACTGTTTCTTATGTTTCGTGGTCCAGGCTGGGCCAGTTTGTTTTTGTTGCTGTTTGTAGAGCCTGGGCTGTCTACAGAGAGAGACCGTGTTTTTTTACAGTGTGTTCAGGGGACAGGCAGCTAGCGGATAGTGAGGAGATGTTTGCTGTATGTGACCAAAATTTTTGGCCTAAAAACACATGACATCACTTAGATTTAACTATTCAACCCAAATAAAAAGGAAACTGGAACAGTACCTGGGAGGGCTTGGAGTGATAGTGGTTTGCTGGTAGTTTGGCGCCGGACTTCCATGCATGGAATTCGGAGGCATCTTGTACGGTGGTATCATTGGCTGTTGCATTAAACCTTCGAAACATAAAATAAAGAGTCAACAAACCATGATTTAAAATGTTGACTTCATGTGGCAAGCTGTCTGACTAGAACTCTAACAAGTAAAATTTGTTTTACCTTGGTCAGCAATAGAATAAAATTTCATTTTGTAATCCAAATGAAAACTAAATAAACAATATACAGTACAATTCGAAAGTTTTGGGTCAGTAAGATTTTTGTAAACTTTATAATTCAAAGAATCCTAAAAAAAAAAATTATCACGTTTTTCACAAAAATATAAGGCAGCACAATTTTTCAACATTGATAATAACAAACGAAATGTTTCTTGAGCACCAAATTAGCATATTAGAATGATTTCAGAAGGATTATGTGACACTGATGAATGGAGTAATGGCTGCTAAAAAATTTGTTTTGCCATCACATGAATAAAATACATTTTAAAATTTTTAATATATTAAAATAGAGAAAATCCCCCACAATATTACTGTTTTTATTGCATTTTTTTTAATAAAGCTGTTGTCCGTAACTTTTTTCCTGTTCAGAATGCACAATTTATATAATAACCGAGTACATCATGAATCCAATTTCCAAACCATGCTTTTGTCTTATCCTGAATCACTACGGTACACCTATAATAATTATAGGTGTACCGTAGTAATAAGTGTTTATATTCAGACTATTTTAGACTGGTTCGGGTCGTACCACTGTGGAGTAGCCCAGTACCTGCGTGACTCGTCATAGACATAAACGGAGAAAAGTAGCTCCGGCTACAATGTTCTTCCGCAAGGAGCATACAGTTCGGTTTATTAACCGCTAGAGCGCCAAAAGTTAAGGGACGATGGCTTTAAATAAATGCAGCCTTAGTTAGAGATGAGAGACTTCTTATAAAAACATTTTTAAAATCGTACCGACCCTAAACTTTTAAACGGTAATGCATGCATAGAGCCAAAATGTAAAAAGATTACATAAATGGCAGTTTCAAAGGCATTTGATTTAATATGTCTAAAATTATAATTGATGTTACCACTAAATAACACTAACTACAGTCTGGAAACTAGAAAAATGGGATTTCTAATCCAGGGAGCTCAAACAGAGGCCACAGAGTAAAAGCATGCCCAGACTAAACAGCTTTATTTCTGCAGTTTCTCCTTACCGCCCTGAACCCCATATCGGGTGGGCGTACTTTTCTCCCTGAAGATATTGGGGTTCCTGGACAGCACCGTCTGTAGCAGTAGAGGCACATCTCCTTCCGGGTCATCACTGCCCAAGTTGTCCTTCAGCTCTCTGCATGCAGAATTACAAAGACGGAATGAGACACACAGATATTTCACATGTCATGCAAGATAAACTCATTTGGTGAGGCAGAGGTGAGATACCCACATGTGCTCAGTGGACACCTGGTTGAGGCTGTGAGCCAGCTGGGACACGAGAGTGTCGTCCCGCCGGGAAAGCAGACAGCTGACCTCCTCGGCGATCCTCCCATTATAAAGCAGGCTCTTAGTGGTGGTGGCAGGTAAAGGGGAGGGGAGAGGCAGCTGATTTAACACTAAGAAATAAACACAAAAACTTGAGTTATTCCTTATCACAACAGGAGACATGAAATACTTCACTCATTCTTCGGGACTTTCCATTTTGATTCAGGCACAAATAAATGTATTGCCTTTACAAATCAAGTCCAATCGATTTGAAAGGTACGAACAGGCATTTAATCCAAATCTTCAAAAGCCAATCAAAAGAGGGCATTCATCAGTATATACTTTTTCAACTGACTTTTGAAGGTACACCAAGTAATTTCCATACCCCAAAAAAATAAATAGTCCTTAGAATCGGGCTGCACGACATTTTGTTTTTCTGCAATATATATTTGCGAAATGAAAAAAATTCACCAGATTACTTGAATAGCTCTATTTTGGAAAGAATTAATCATTCTAGAATGATTAGGGTGATTTTCTTGGGGGAGTAAATCTGCATAGAAAATAAACCATTTACAAGCAAGTTCCGAATTGAGTTCTCTTTCGTGTCATCTTGCACTCAAATGGTTTAAAATCGCTTGAATGTTTAAACTGACAGGACCTTAAACACATGCAAATGATAAACTTTCGCTGTATTATGCAATTAATCCAAGAATCACACACGTTTCGAACCGTGGTGCCTGGTCCGAACGGATCAACTACGGTCAATAGTGGTGCAACGGATCATCATTGATCCGTGATCCGTTCGGATCAATATCTTCGGTTCGGCACACACGTGATCCGCGGATTGATTTATGAAAAAAAAAAAATGTAGGTGTGTGTGTGTGTATGCGCGCGTGCGTGTGTCCTACGCATGTTTAGTCCACACACATCTCCACAGCGTGGTCATGGCGATCGGAGGACGTGAGCTTGAACGCCCCGCGTCATTTAAATCCCCATATATGGGAGCATTTTGGCTTCCCTGTCAAATATAATGATGAAGGAAAGAGGTTAGTGGATAAAACCGTGACGGTGTGTGTAGTAGGGTGGCCATACGTCCGGATTTTGGCCGGACAGTCCGGAGTTGCGCTGAATTGACCTAAAAAAATTAACTTATAAAAATCCCGCATATCGATAGCGGCTCCCTGATGCCCGCAAATTAGTTTAAATCTCCCGGAATCTAGAGCGCGCGTGCGAGACGGAACATACTGCGCGCATAACATACGACGCAAACGGCAGAGAGGGAGAGAGCGAGAGACCTTGCGTGTGTGCGCATGTAAGACAGAGAGCATCCTGATTGGCCTGTTTCGGTAACTCAACCAGTCAACCCCCCTAATATCTCTAAAAAATACGATATTATGCCTTGTGCACTTTAAGTTGATTTTATATATTTTAATTTAATAATTTAAAAGTGTTAATAAGACAAATAAACATAAGTTTAGTCTTTTTGTCTTTTTTGCTGATCCGAAAAATGATCCGATCCGTGACTCTGATCCGAGAAACAATCCGAACCGTGAGTTTTTTGATCCGTTGCACCCCTAACGGTCAATATACTTGACATCGCACATCTTGCAATGTGACTATCGCGGATGCGCACATTGCTATAACGATGCTAAAACGATATATCGTGCACCCCTACTTTCAAAAAATGTCTTTACAATGACGTAAACTCACATGAGATAAAAACTCATTTCAGTGGAGGACAAAAATATCTTTTATTCTACAGAAGGATGGTCTTCTTATGGTTGCCACCAAGTTGAAGTCACATGATCAATCGAACACTCTTAACTAAATCTTGGTAACACTCTTATAATCAGATACTTTCAAGTATGGTAGGAATATTAAATGATTTATATTACATTTCTAAATGCATATTTAAAAGGTACAATGTGTATAATTAATTTGTTATGCAAGCTTTGGATTCGTCATAAAGTTCATTTAACAAAAAGTTTGCACGACTTACGGTCGGTGAGGCTTGCGATCCCAGCGAGAGTGGTGATAGGAACATGAGGCATATCCCCATTCATGCTGAAGAAGGGCAGGGAGCTCGCGTGGATGCACAGGTCGCTCAGTGTCGCTGCTCACTGATCCACCTTTACATCTTTTGCTGCAAGAGGAAGAAGAGGACATGATGACATCATCAGCATCATTTTCAGCATCCACAAACATTGTAATAATAACAGCGCTTCCCTTTCTGAGATATGGAAACAATAAGACAGTGACAGTATTATAATTAAAACACGTTTAAAAATATTTTATTTAAATCTTATGATACTACAATGCTTAAGATGAGGAAATCAAGGCTCCACAAACAGGTTTAGTTAATTGTTCATAAATGTTTTTTATTGTTTAAATCTTTGAAAAATGACCTTTTTAATTTCATTTTCTACATTACCATTCAAAAGTACGCGTTCAGTTAGATTTTTATTAGAAATTAATACATTAGTTCAGCAAGGATTAATTGAATTGATCAAAAGTGACAGTTAAAGACCTTTTTAATATTTATAATATTACAAAACATTTCTATTTCAAATAAATGCTGTTCTTTTTGAATCCTGAACAAATGTAGCGTGGTTTCCACAGAAACATTAAGCAAAACAAATTTTTTCAACATTGATAATAAGAATTGTTTCTTGAACACCAAATCAGCACATTAGAATGATTTCTGACAGATCATGTGACACTAACAGCTTGAGTAATGTCTGCTGAAAATTCAGCTTTGCCAACACAGGAATAAATTACATTTTAAAAATGAATATATATAAAAATAGAAAACAATTATTTTAAAATTACAATAATATTTCACAGTATCACTGTTTTTACAGTATTTCTGCATAAGAGACTCTAGTCTAGTCGATACGACAGTGTATATCTTTTTCACTGACACTTCTTGAAACTAATAGTTTAATAGCAATAACTTTGCAAACCCCTCGTTTTTCTCATAGCATGACTACTAGCTCAAAATAACTCAATGTTTTGATTAACATGATAATGTTTGCGAGCATTGACATCTGGAAATCTGGAAATTAAAATGTGGAATTTCTAAAGGAAGTGACTATCCACAAAAAAAGTATCACACAAAGTCTTGTGTTGAGTAAAATTCTGATCATTGTCAGGTATACATTACTTTTGTGAGCACAATGTTACCATAGCCATATACATAAAACAAAAACCATCATTTTAAACTTACCATATGCATTATGCTCAGAACAAAAGAGGTACCAGGCATGGCCAAAACTACACGCGCATCTGCTCATCAAATGGGCTTTATTTTGTAGTTGCCCCTCCCCCTATGCTACTAGAACTGCCTCCACTACTCTAGGAGGGTTTCCCATCAGGCACTGGGACAGGCTGCAGGAGACACTGTCCTGTTGAAACAGGAAGGTCTTCCCCAGACGGCTGCAACAAATTTGGAAGAAGCCGGAGTTTGGCTTCAGCTGCATTCAGCTGCTCAAGAGCCAATCGCTTCCTCTACTGTAAACCACCAGAGTCTCAGTGAGAATCCAACATCAATTCCAAAACATAAAAGGCATGCAGCTGCCTGTGGATGCCCTGCGTTTTACTGCTATAAGAGCAACTGGAAGCAGTAGAATGGAGAAAACATTCATAAAATACAACCAAAGGAGGAAGAAATTACTTGTTGAGAGTAATTGCAAAAACTTTTTTTTTCTGAAGATAATGGCCTATGTAAACAAGAACTGAGATTGACCTTTTTTTTTTTTAAATCCAATATTGATTATTTTTATGTTTAAATGTTCAATAACTGATATTTAGGGATCAGGATAATTTTTCATGTCTTATTTTTGCTTTTTAATTACAATAAAAAAAAAAGATATTCTAAATATTAAATATATTATTACTATTGATAATAATAATTGTTATTATTAATAAAAATAAAACATTTACAATGCACAATGCTTTTATTATTATTATGCATATTATATATTATGTAATAATTATTATTATTATCATAATATGCCAAATGTTTTGTAATCTGAAGAGAATGGATGATTATTATTTGCATTTAGAGATATATTTGTAGAATCTGCACTTTTAGGTTATTTCTTATGATGAACCTTCAGCATTCGAGAACATCAGGTACAATTTTTATATAAATAGCAGGACAAAAAACAGAATAATCCTCTAAGGGTACGTTTACACGACAATGATGTACTAAAAACAGAAACGTTTTTTTCTTGGTGTTTTTCATGTATAGGCGACAACGTTGCCAAAACAGTCCTCGTTCACACGGATCTGCGAAAACGATTAAAAACGCTGTATTAATCATGCCAGGCCAGTAGTTGGCGATGTCACTTTGTAAAGAAACACAAGTACGCTCCTATAGATTGAACCAGAGCCATAGAGAGCAAGAGTCGCGACACTCCCATAGACCGCCATAGGAACTTTGGAATGCGGAAGTAACGCGTGTCGTGGAGCGGCCAATAGTTTCAAACACTGATAGTTTCTCCATTGAACCCCATTCATTTTCAGTGCTTCAGAAGTACGTTCGCTGGTAAATTAATGAAATTACTGTATTTTTTTACTTTTACACACATAAGCCGACCTCTCGTGAATCTCGTCTGTAGTTATATTTTATGTAGCCAGTTTTAGTAAATGTTTATTGGAAGATAATAGGTTCATTGCAGCGATAGCTTACGTGACCAACACTTCACTAACGTTAGCTAACTGGTAACCTGATGTATATAATATATAATATTTTTAATAATATTTTATATGTATATATATATGTATATATATATATATATATATATATATATATAGCCTATAATATTATATACATACACACACACAATTCATTTATTTAAATGGGTTAGGGCTATGCATGTGCTTATATGTATTTAGGAACAGTTAATTCACTCATTAACTATCTCTCCGGTTTAATTTTATGAAGAATATTTTTCGGTTGAATATTTACCGAACATTGCTGTATATAGTCGTTGCTTTCTACGTTATGGGAGCAGTCTATTCCCTCCTAAATCATTCATTTGTACATGCACAGCGTAATTATTTATATTTTATGTTGGTTGGAATTCTGAACGGACCGCAGACCTCTTTGCGTGATCACGAAGCGGAATTTATAAGCAAGATCACGGGAATCAATAGCCTAATACAGCCCAGTTGTGCTAAAATAAATATCATGAGACGTCCATCATCAGATGAATGACATGGAAAAGTTAAGTTAGAGCCGCTAAAGCCAGTGCTATTACTACCCATGCGAACATGAACACTAAGCTTTTCCCTCCAAAAATATAGCCTAAAACTTATCTAAGTTGTCACCCTGCCTCTCCAAATGCAAAACTGACATTAACAAAACGCAATAACAGCTTAAAAAGTACCTGGGTGTGTGTTTTATTTTATATTTACCGTTTAATAATGCAATCGCTGCTGTCTGTCCATAGAAGAACATGACAGCCCGTGTATGTTTTGGAACTATTGGGGCTTACATGAACCACGTGACAGCCGTCGCGGCGACATCAAAGAGTGTCGCAACTCTTTCTCTCTATGGCTCTGGATTGAACACGTAATAAGCACGAGCATGCCGTCACAGTTTTCACAAATTCGTGTTTTTGTAGTTTACATGGAGACTATTACGGTATCGTTTTCAAAAACTTGCACTTTGAAACACATTTTCAAAAGTTTGAGTTTTCAGGCCCTGAAAACTCAAAAACTATGTTGTCGTGAGAATGAACGGCCAAAGCACATAAAGAGTTTTCCGTTTTTAGTTGAAAGCAGTATCGTGTAAATGGCCCCTAATTCTTCAGGTGGTATTCTCTAATTGAGGGACAAAATAAAGTAATATTTTTAGACCATAATGGCATAACAACAAATGAAAAAGGACCATACATTGTGCAACACAAACTCAGCGCTCTCGTATACATTTTGTCTGTTTTTGGATTAAATACTAGGCTGGTAGGTATATACGCCAATATAGCTCAAATATGAGGACCGCTGTATTGATACTCCTAACAAACAGACTCTGATCAGTTCTAGATATCTAAAGCTATATACAGTTGAGTAGATTAATTAAATTATCTATTACATTACACTTACTGTAATCTGACTGCTTTTTCATTACGTTTAGATTACTTTGACCCAACTTGTTTTTATAATATTGATTTGAATAGAATCTTGATTCTATTGATAAAAAAAAATAGAGAGAAAGAAAAATATTTCCTTTTTATGAACAACGTGAAGTGCATTAAAAATTACATTGCCTCAGGGTTTCCCTAACTAGGGTTTGGGAAGAAACTGCAGAGGGTTCATACATTTACGAAAAGCAAATAATGAATTAAATCATAGAAAAGTTCAATTATAAGAAAAAAATTGTTTGAAAATAAAAACAATCAAATTAAAACATTATTTAAAAAAAAGATTAAATATGTTATTCGTTTATGCTGTGCGGCCTCTTCTTTTCCATGTAATTATAGTCGCCTGATTAACTATTGAGAAAGGAAAATTGAAAAGATAAAAATGAAGAATTAGGGAGAATCAATGAATTCTGAATAATTTACTGCCATTTTGTGAATATTAGTAATCATGTAATCAATAAAAAAGTAACTGCATTCTGATTATGAGTATTTTAAAAAGTAATATAATTTAAAGTACTTCATTTTTGGAATCTGATTACATAATCCAGATTTACATCTAATCAGTTACTACCCAGCACTGGCTATTTAAATAAATATAAATATATTAATACAATTGACATATCAAGGTGCCTTATAGACTAGACAACAGTGCAACACAACTCAGGAAAAGTGTGACTGTAAAGTTGTGCACAGTACAGGAGAAGATTCATTTTCTTGAGTGCCTATACTTGTTATTACACAAACATTGATCCAAGAAGTACAAATGAAATAAAGTGAAATGACAGGAGAAAATCTACAGCAAAGGCAAAAGCATCAAATGATGGTGAACTGGCAAGTCATTCAAAAACACTAAAGTTCAGCTCAGGACAATCTCGATCACCTCTTTTTTTTATTAAAGGTTAATACATTAATATTGGTCTGCTATGTGAAAACTCATTCATAGATTACAGCCACAGCTCAATGTTTCTCCAGCACTAGCTGCTCCAATAAAACAACACAGCAATTTAATAAACCAAATCTGACAGTCTTGTCATAAATGTGAGCGATTTCAACTGTATTCCTTTCTCAGATTCTACTGCAAAGAATCCAGAATCTTGTCAACAGACACAAAACTTTGCATTTACTTTCAGTTTTCCATTTGTGCACATACTGGACACGAACTGCTAAAGCTAACTAAACCCAAGCAGCATTCCCTACATTCATTCCTAGCTGTCAAAATAAATCATCTTATTTTTCAAACCCATAATGTTTTTAAATAACATATCTCCAAAATTCCGTTTAAAACAAAATATTTAAAATATATATATTTATTTTCTATAAATTACTATTTATATATGAGTTATTGACAGTTTTTTGTTTATAAAAAGAGGTTGTTTCATTATGTTTTTTATAAATAAATATTACTATTTTTTATATATATATAGCCTATATATACACACACGTATGAATATTACTAGCTATATCTAGATATATTCAAAGATTGAGCATTACAAATGTTTACGATATTTGTTTATGATCATATTAATCTCACTAGGACCTTAATTTGAATATCCTTTACATTCTCTTCAAGTCAGAGTTAATTAACAGTAAACGAGCATAGAAACTCTTCGCCTTTGTAAATGAAAAGAATATTGAGATGCAGGTAAAGGCCTTTACATTTCAATAATTCATTTCTATTCCCATCACGCGACCAGCTAGTTATGAATATTTTGATAACGATTCTTTTCTGATTATAAATTGTCTCTGATTAAAGGCTAGTATTATTCAATACAGAACTGTATTGTTTGCTCTTTACTTTGACAGATGCTCAAAGGTTTGCTATAATGCAATGTTTTGATTCGCATTAATGAAACTATTCTGATGTCTAATAAGTGCAGCTCTAGAAGTGTGTTTAGTTTATTCTGATGGATAGCTGATCAGGGGGCTGTTCCATAAATGAAGCTTAGAAAAGCGGGGATTAAACTCCAAAACCTGACTTGAATGAGCCTAACAAATAAGTTGGGGCTAAAGTGGTTCCATAAAAGGTAATTGAAGTTCACTCAATCTCACTAATTTGATCCAGGTTTATCTAGTCTAGATAATTGCGTGTGCACGCGTTTCTGAAGCAGCCCTAGAGGTCGATCGTGGATCAAATCGATCCACCATCATACAGCGTATATTTTGTGCTGTTTTATGCATTTGTGACATGTTTTTTTTTTTTCCTCAGTGCACAAATTACATTTTACAGTTATATTTTCCATCTGTAAATGTTAGAAAGTCGTGCAAATGTATCCATTTTGCTGCTAATCTTCATATTGAACGAGCGCTGCTGCGCGCATGCGCGCCAAATAGGAGCGCAATAATTCTGACTAAAATATACATTTTGCTTGGAAAATTAATATGCGATCTTTTATAACACTAGAAATATCTTCTAATTATAATAATTTCTCTTTAGGATGTTGGATAAGTTGCAGTGAACTTCTAGCTCATTACACTCATATATTTTATACTTCTAATAAAAAAAAAGAAATTGAACAGAAGTAGCCTAATTCAGGGAAGATTTTTTTTTATAGAAACTAAATAAATAAAGATACAAAATATAGTTTTGGGTATAGGACCTATGCTACTTTATAAAGATGATATATACTTATTTAGAATGCTGAGAATTACAGCTTTTAATGCAATCATTTTTTTTTTGAGAAAGCAAGAATCCCCAGTTTTAAATGAGTGGTTAGATTTAGTTTCTAAAGTACATTATGGAGAGGATAACATTAAATTAAGAACAAATGTATACATTTTGAAAAGATATGTGCAACTCTAAAATCAAAGAATATTCCATAAAATAAAGGAATATATATTGGCCTACATTAACTACATTTTTATGTAACCTTCCCTTTTATTTCTAGTTATTTGTTATTTTATTTATTTACTTATTTAATATTGAATATTTGATATTTAAATAATATTACTTGAATAACTTTTAGGAATTATGTGTCATTCATTATAAGAGTTTGATATATGTGAATGTTATATTTTTATTAATATTTATTTATTGTTTTATTTATATGTATGTGTTGGTATTATCACAAAAGAAAAAAAAGTAGAAGGAAAAATAAGGAATATTTATTGGGGGAAAATATGATGTCTTTAAAGGAACTGTCCATTTGTATAATTGTGTTAAATGTGTTTGAATTGAAAGACATAATAAAGTACTTCAAAAAAAAATATATATATATATATATATATATATATATATATAAGAGACAGTGTAGAGAAAGAATTCTCTGATAACCGAGGCATTCCTTAATTAAAATGTCTTTATTACAAAAATGACATGTCCTAAACGGAAAACTTTAAAACGCCTTATATATGTGTCTATATTGTAGCCTTATTTAAGTTGATTTTCTGTATACTGTGTATTTATAAAGTCCAATAATGGTATTAGAGACTGTCAGTGGTAATATCATTGTGTTCTTGTCGGTCAGTGTTGAGGATCTGTGTAACAACTGAGGCTTAGCCTGACAGTTAGCCTGCCCTGGACCAGGCTAGTTTCCCAGCATAAGTTGCCAGGGTAACTGAGTTTGAACTTTTTTAAGTTTGATTTATGAAACCGAATCTACCAAAAATAAGCTTGACTAACCGAAATAAGCCTGGCTTATACTCTAATCTTGGTTTATGGAACAGCCCCCAGGTTTGCTATCTAATTTAGATGTTTATGTTATTGTTTACTTAGCTAGATGGTAAATAAGTTGAGCGTATTGCTTTTTTTTCTGTCAGACAGTTAATGAGGGTTGCTGTAGTATGACTATTGTTTACTCTGATGGCTAACAAGTTTTGCTCTAATATGAGAGTATTGTTTATTCCGAATTCAAGTTATTAAGGATGGTTCTGGTATGATTTTGCCTCCTCTGACAGATGCTGAAAGCGGTTTTGCTCTAAAAGCACAGTATTGTTTACTCAGATAGAAGGTGAATGAGGTTTACTCTGAGAGGACAGTATTGTTTACTCTGGTCTGCGGAGCTGCAGGCCTGTATGACTCTTATCTCCGGGCTTTGGGTTCAGCTCCACACCTGCATCTCCAGACGAGCCCCCTGGACCGGTTGGGTCCGTTTAAACGGCCCGTTTTGGCCTTTCGCTCGCAAACATCCGAACCGCGGATTCGCCTGCGGGCCCGCACCGAGCTAACGCGTATGCTAACACTGAGCGAGGGCTGCACAACACCGATAACCTTTCGAAAAATCCGAAGCACGTCTCACCCTGAAACCTGGCTACTGTGCTCCCCCAACTCGGAACCAGCGAAACGGGTCCGGCGCGTTTACCTGAGGCTCTGTTGTTGAAAGCTGAAGGTGGAGGGGTTCGGGCTCGCTGTGTCCCTCTCACAACAATAATCCGGGTCGCACCGCTTCCTCTCACTGCGAACATGAAGACGGACGGGCGGCGGTCATTCCTCTCGTAGGCGCCCGCGGAAGCTCGCACTTTACTCCGGACGATGGCAGAAAAGATTCGGTTCCTAAAGGCTCCTGGGCGCTCATAAAAGAATCCACACAGACTCACTCTCTCTCTCGCAGAACAAAATGCCGACCGGAAGCACTGCTGCAGGAATGACTCCCTCCACCGGCGCCGAACCAACCAGCAGCGACCCGCCGACTTCCGCTGCCTGCTCTCCTCCCCTTCCCTCCTTCTCCCATCCTGCTTCCCATCCTCTCTCCTCTATCATCATCCTCCAGTCTGCTTCTATCTCCCTCCTCTCTTCTGAGGTGTGTTTTCAGTAAACGTGTATAAATTTGTATCCCGTGTATACAATTAACGTGGAGCCTTGTAAGCAAAATACACTTTTCTAATAAGACTACAGGCAAACAAACCATTGTTGTTTTTTTCATGCACAAGAGATTCTGGGCTATTTTGCTTCCATAACATGTCTTCTTTCAGACTTGTGGAAAGGAAGCATCCAAAATACACATGTAGGTGTTTATTACAGTAGCCTAGCACACTTGATCTCTTTGTGTCTGTAGCCTAAATTTCAATTACAATAGCCTACATATATTTTCTCAAAATGATGTTTTTCCTCATGCAGTGATCCAGAAATGTACACTTCAGTAGCACTTTCATGCACCAAATTTCCAGTTTTATTTTAAAGGTTTTTAGAGGGGTTTGTTCATGACATTCTCCTGATTTCTATAACATCCTAGTGTTTACTGTTGAAAGCATTATCTAAAATCATATATGTAAAAACTTTGAACTCTAGTATGTCACCTAAATTAATTTTTAACCTGGCTTTATCCAATAATCAGATTTATGGTCTGTAAATAAGCAAATTAGTTTACATACATTTTTTATTAAATAACTACCCATTTGCCAGTTTAACATAACATTTCAGAAAACTTGTAATATAAAATGTAATGTCTTAATTTCCTGCGATTAGGCTAATTAACTGGGGAATTATGATATCAATTAGTTAAAAATATTTACCCTAATCACCAGTGGTGTCTTGCCTTAACTTTTGAACTTTTTCAATTGATAAAACTAATTAAAATCAGAATGTTTTGATAAATGAAAATGTGTGTGAACGTAGATATTACACAAAGATTTTTGACTGAACCAACGTGATATTCTTCATGGTGCTACAGGCATCTGGATATGAGTTCAATATCGCCCCCTCACGGGACTAAACTAATATTTCAGGCTAAATAGTTTTTACACCACTCTGAATATTTCACAGTTATCTTATGTATAAGCACATACCTTATGTCTTGGCTACAAAAAAAAAAAGAAGCTTTTAAACATTTCCACCAGGGACAAAAAGAACACCCGTTGACCTTCTGTGACAACATGCCCCAATGACAAGGCATATTGTCACACTATATGGGGCTAATTGAAACTATGAAAGCTGCAATTAAATAACGGGTACACTTTTTTTTTTTTTTTTTTGCCTGACTTGAACCGTAAAAATAAATAAATGTCATGCCATTGTTTTTGCCAGCAATTATTGTAAATAATAAATTGTATGCACAGAAGGACAGAAGTCTCGAAAATATTCAAATTTAGGAGGGTTTTGATCTAGATCTTAAACTAGTTCTATATTATCTAGTCTACATTTGATCTAGATTAAGACCTATAATATAAACCCACTTCTAGAGAAGAAAAATGTGTAGGCTAATTGTGTGTGTGTGTGTGTGTGTGTGTGTGTGTGTGTGTGTGTGTGTGTGTGTGTGTGTGTGTGTGTGTGTGTGTGTGTGTGTGTGTGTGTGTGTGTGTGGCTATGGTCAATTGACTAAATTGGCTAATGCATTATGCACCGCATTGTTATTAAAAAGCTCTGGGAACATTTGTGCTATAGTTAAAGGGATATTTCACCCAAAAAGGAAAATTCTGTCATCACTTACTCACCCTCAATTTGTTCAAAACCTGTATGGTTTTCTTCCTTCAGTTGAAAACAAAAGAAGATTTTTTGAAGAATGTTGGTAACAAAACAGTTGACGATAGCCATCGAATATTAGGGCAGTCAATGCCTACTGTCAATTGTAGGCTACTCTTCAAAATATCTTCTTTTGTGTTCAACAAAACTCACACAGGTTTGGAACAACTTGAGGGTGAGTAAATGATGAGAGAATTTTCCTTTTTGGGTGAACGATCCCTTTAAGGAAAACGTTTGCTTGCCTCTGTCATAACGTCTTAAATAACACTTTTGTCAGTGCCTTCATTGAAGTGTGAACTGTAGGTGACTTCAATGAAGGCACATACGTAGATGTTCTTTGAGACATCATAACAGAGACAAGCACACCTTTTTCTTAACTATAGCCCAAATGCACCTTCATTAGAGCTTTTTAATAACAATTCGGTTAATAATGCATTAAAATACACCTATCAACTACTAGAATCCTTATGAAATTGAGGGGGTTTTTTTGCCTGAAGAAAATTATTGACCACTAGATGCCAGCATGAGTCCATTTTGAATTATCCACTAGATTAGAAGTTTGCGTTTCTTCTCTATTGATCGTTTTAATCTTTCCTTTATTTGCAGGATCAAAATTGTCTGGCCTTTTTTTAATAAATAAATTTGAATATATTAATTATATTCCACATTCTATTCATGTTTAATTAAGATTAATTCTCCAATATCAAAAGAGTTTGTTGAAAATTTTGGACTGTGTAAAAAATATAATAAACCACAGCTACTCATCTATCATTAATCAAAATTCCAGCACAATGCATCACCTCTCTCCATTTTATTCAAAACTATATTTAACACACAACATGCATTTCTCTATAGCTCTAATCACCCATTTTGCTTTTGAGACAGGAAATTTACAGTGACATGAAAAAAACTAAGAATTTTAAAAAGGCAAATATAAGATCACAGTTTCCAGCCGAGTACGTGTCAGTCCAACCTGTGTCTATAGCATGTTTTCAAAAGATTTATATTTTCAAAATGATTTATGTCACTGCAATCACAAGACTGTAAACATTCAGTCCCTTTTCCTACTATTAATATTCAGTAGCACTTATTATTTCTATGTATCATTAATGTTAGCAAATGGCAAGAAAAGGGTCAGTGGATGAAATATAGGAAAATAGAAAACAATAATAAAAAAAAATCTCATAAATGCATATGTGTTTGTTCAGTTAGGATTAGTTGTGCGAGCTGCAGAGAAAAGTCAAATAGCTGCTGAAACACTGAGGAATATCGATGAGTCTTCTCATACATAAAGATGTGTAAAGCAGCTTTCAAAGCTAAACATAATTTTCACTTGATATTTACAGTAATACATATTTTATACTCCACTTATAGATGATCACATTACAAATGGAGCCCAAAAGTTTTTAATCTTGGTCTCCTGCTCATGTTGAACACCTAGCGCAGAACTTGGCATAAGCAAAGTGTAATGAACTTCTGTCTGTTCATCAGATGAAGCACTGACATTCATTTCTGATTAAGTCTTGTGTACATCCATGTCCTTATTCGTTTTAACACTCTTGTAGCTCGTGTGACAAAGGTTGGTCACCAATATACCAATGCCCCCCATATCCTACATAGATTCACATTTCAGCTAATTATTAAAATAATGAAAAAGCAATACAAAAAAGGAATGGTTATTATATATTTTTGGAAAGGTAAAACTCTCCTGCCAAATCAAAATAACAATCGGTATGACCTTGAGAACCAAACTAAAGCACAACAACAAAATTACAGTAAAAGGAAAAAAGAAGGTTGAAAACAATAGATTCAAAAACAAAACAAATATATATATATATGTGGGTGTGTGTGTGTGTACACGGGCCCTAAAAAATATTTGGACACTTTTGACACATAAGCAACACTTCACAAATGTATGAATTTTATTTCATAGCAACAAAATTTGCATATATATATAAATATATACAAACACGTATGTGTATATGTATATGTACGTTATAAAGTCAAGTGTAGTTCATTTCCCAAATTTCCACAATCAGAAAGTGTCCAAATACTTTTTGGTTTGCTTGAATAGCATGCTTATACAATATTTCTTTAAAATAAATGCATTTAGTTTGATAAAATCTTACACGTTTTAGTGTATCTTAAGTGTTCATATATTTTCTGGGGCCACTGTACATATACAGACACAAACACACACAAAATCCTTGGTTGGGCATTGAATATGCAGGCTCTACATCTTAGTCTCGCTGTCTGGTGGTTTCTCATTCTCATAGTCGTTCTCCTGAGGGATTTTCTGATAAGGTTTCTTCACTTCGTTCTCCTCCAGCACAGAGCTCCCCAACTCCACATCACCGCCCTGAAGCTCATCTTTGGACAGGAACTCTATAATTCCAGCTCCTATAGAATCTCCCAGGACGTTAGTCGTTGTGCGCAGTCGATCCCTGTAAGTGCAACAGAAAGTGAGTAAAACAGGAAATGAAGAATCCATTTATTTACCTGTATATTTCACCCTGAGACAGTAAAATATCAGCGATACTTGATTGGTTGTCAAAAAGTTTTCAACTTTCAGCTCAGTTTTTATCCTAGTTTAAATAGAAGCACATTTAGCTGTGTAACTTGTGGGAAAGGGGATCTATCTGGAATGATTAATTTGGCCAACCTAATTACGTTTCTATGTAAAAACCTATTGAATTACATGAAATGCATTGAAAAAATGGAGCAAGTCTAATGGGAACATATCAAAGTGTGTCACCTGGGTTGATAATGAAAAAAAAGAAAAGAAAAGACGGGAGTCCCAAATATGTGCCAATGCCAAACGCAGTCATTTTAGCAGAAGATTTTGCCTTGTTTTGCAAAATACTTCAAATTAATATATTTTTTGCATTGTTATTCCCTTTTTAAACCGTATCAAATCATAATTCTATAAGAGGTCAGTCACGGGAACCAATCAACTGCAATGATGAGGGTGATGTCATCGGTTGGTAGTCCGACAGAGGTCAGCACAATCACAATCAGAAAGTGTCCAAATACTTTTTGTTTAGCTTGAATAGCATGTAATTCTTACAATTTTAAGTGTTTCTTGAGTGTTCATATATTGTTTGCGTTGTTATTCCCTTTTTAAACCATATCAAATCACGAATTTATAAGAGGTCACTCACAGGAACCAATCAACTGCAATGATGAGGGTGATGTCATCGGTTGGTAG